TCTGGCGCCATAGCTGATGTATGGACCGGATTCTACTGGACTATATGAAGAGATTAAGAAGCAAATAGTTTGAATATCTAGGATGGCATAAGAAATGTTACCTGAGTGATAAGCAAAAATGGACTTAAACTACCCGGTATTAAGGAAAATATCAAATACAACTGTAAGCATCACTGCAATTCACAAACCCTTTGGTCGAGGAAGTCACTGTCCATGAACACTGGCTAAGGAACGTTTTCACAAAATTTTAACACTTTAATTAACCTAATAAAAATACATAAACAGCGTCCCGCTAATCGGTCCACTGTACGTATTCCGTGCAGTAGAATACGACTCACACAAGTCCATGTTTATCATTTATGCCGGTTTGTCACTCCGCGTCATTAGTACTGAGTCAATGTACTTGTCGAAATATTTAGAGAATCATCATAGTTGAAATGGGCGGTATATTTAGGGTTCATAAAATTCTGAAAAATATATGTGTAGATACGTACGTAGTATCCAAGTATATAAATATTTCTCCTGTAGCGGTGTGTTAGTGACGACACCACCGCAGACCAGTTCGAGTTTGTTACCCATTGCACAGTCGGCAGTGTACGTAACGCCAACGATTGTAAACTTATTTCGAATTATGAGTATATCATAAATCGTGCTTTTATCGTTTAATTTTCCCGCTGCTACTGGTATCAGAAGCTTCTCAACGATAGAACGACTAATACTAAAGACATTTATAACCCCCTACCCCTACAACCAACCCCCAAGTTTCAACACCTAAATTTTTTTTTCTAAAAATGTGCATGAGACTGAAACGTCAAAACACGAAGTTTAAGCGATTTTTTTCTGTCATGCTTCTGCCCTAGCTCCGCCACCACTAGACCAATCTGCAAAAACTACAAAGCATCCTTGGCATAGTGGTAACCTCAAGTTGTGTGCTGTTATAGAATTAGCGGACAGACAGACAGATCGACGAAAATAAGTGACATGGTTTTTCGTATACCACATGTCATATCACATCCAAAAGACGTAATACAGGGTGTAAACGTTATGGTAGTCATTATAGAGATAGGTATTAGGGGGGGGGGGTAGTCAAAACAAGTCAAAAAGTTCATATGACCCATGGTCCAAAAGTCAATAGTTTTGTCTAAATGGGTTTATAGTTTACAACTTCAAGAACTTTATATCGACCATAATCACCACAATCTTACTAATTTTTATGATCTAATCTAAAACGTTGTTAAATTGGGTAATTAACAAATAAATGGCATCAAGTTTTTCTAAGTTAAGCCGAAATTTGTAGTCAGTAAGTAAGTTTCATTAAATTAAATATTTAAAAATCACATGACAACAGCGCGTCGTCATCACTCTTATTGAACCGGCAATCGATCGCAAACGGTAACAGTAGTTAGTTACCGGGCATCGGGCGTGTTTTGTTTTTCTTCGCGTACGTTCGTTGTTAGTTTACGGCAAAGCTCGTCAGAATTCAAATCTTGCAGCACAAATTTATCGCGACAGATGTCGTCAACGGGTACACCCAGACAGAAGGACATTTGTGCAAGTGTACCAAAGACTTCGAGATACAGGAAGTGTTCAGTCCACTAATATTCGCATTCGTAAAAGACTAGGTTACTGTAGAGCAAAGGAACAAATTTTAAATATCGTGGAAATCAATGCAGATAATAATAATAATAATAGCTTTATTGTCCAACAGTTTCATATTTATAGGACAATTTATAAACATAATACAAAAGCAAAAAAAGCGAAAAAAAGCGAAAAGAAAATAACAAATACAACACAGGTATTTATACCAAATTTATAAATTTGAAACATGAGCTATTGGTCCGAATAAGCCTTAGCTGCCTTTAGCAGGTAATTAACATTTGTCGTAAATATATCACAGTAACATCCCGTTCTGTTTTAAGTTAGAGCACATTACATATAACGGTGACTTGAGAAGAATGTTTGTCCTAGCTCTAGGAAGCCCGAATATTTTATGATTGCGAGATGCAAACGTTGGAGTACGAAACTTGATCTGTTCCAGGATCCTGGGGCAATCAATTAAATTGTTGATCATTTTGTAGCCAAATATTATTGAGGCACAGTACCTACGTTTTTTCAAAGTCAACATGTCTAAGCGACTACATAGTTCCTCATTACTTGTACCTCTCTCTGGATATGTCCCATCAATCCTAAATAGAACAAACTTCATAAACTTCCGTTGTACTCTTTCAATAGCTGTGCTATAGCATTCATAGTAAGGGCTCCAAATAATACTACAATATTCGACTTTGGATCTAACATAAGCATAATATAATAACTTAATAGACTTTATGTTATGAAAATTCCTGCAATTCCTTACTCTGAAACCATAAGCCGCCAATGCTTCTGATGCTTTTTTATTTATATGCTGACTAAAAGTTAACTTTTGATCATAGATTATACCTAAATCACGTACATCAGAGCATCTTTCTAGCACAGACCCATCAATAGAGTACGGATATTCGCAAACATTAATTTTCCTGGTATAGCTGACTATTTTACACTTCCTCACATTAAGCTCCAACTTGTTTTCTACACACCAAGACAGCACAAAATTTAATTGGTGTTGTGGCTTGATACAATCATCAGGAGTATTTATCTGCGAATAAATTTTTAGGTCGTCAGCAAAGCATAGGCGTTCACATTCAACTGAGTCACAGAGGTCATTAATAAATATCAAAAACAGTAATGGTCCCAGGTTGGACCCCTGAGGAACTCCAGAAGGTGCCAAGTAGGTCTCAGATTGGAAGCCATTATAGCTAACAAATTGTCTATGATCGGATAAGTAAGATTTCATCAACTCCCTAGCATCATCTGTGAAACCAAGTGCATCTAACTTATTTAATAAAGTTTTGTGGTTAATTTTATCGAGAGCCTTCGAAAAGTCGGTATAAATAACGTCAACTTGCTCATTACTATCAATGGCTTCCGAGAGGTACTGCGTTATTATAAATAGATTTGTGGTTGTTGAGCGATTAGCGACAAATCCGTGTTGATGCAATGACAGCTAACGCTGGACGGCAGTGTAAATGCGACTGTACAAGACTATTTCAAAGACTTTCGAGAACATGCATAATATAGAGATTGCCCTGTAATTCTCAATATTTGACTTATCCCCACACTTAAACACTGGACAGACCTTAGCAATCTTCCAAATATCTGGAAATCTTTTTGTTATAAGACAAATATTAAAAATCCTAGTTAGAACACCAACAAACACTTCCACACAATCTTTGACTATAAAGGACGGGATGCCATCTAGACCAGATGTCATCTTATCCTTTAGTGATTTAATGGCCTTCCTGACTTCATTTTCCTCAATGAAAATGGACAAATAAATTACTATGATTTAGTGAGGCATTATTATGGGGCTTGTGAGTGACATAGACGCTGCGGAAAAACTCACTGACGGCGTTTACTATATCCTGAGGCTGATCTATAGAATTATTTTGAAATTTCATTATCCCTGGGATTCGTGATGTGTTGTTTTTGGAGTGAACGTATGACCAAAAAGCATTGGGGTTAATTGTTAAAGAATTCTGGATATTTTCAATATATTGATCATATGCCGATTTAAACTGGTTTTTTATCAAGCGGGGCAAACGTTTGAATTCTTGTAGATCATCAACAAAAGCAGACCTGTTGATTTTTTTCCTAAATTTAGCTTTAAGTTTAATGTTCTTAATAATAGCTGAGTGAAACCAAGGCGGGTATCGATGACTGTAATTCTTATACAGAGGTATGTGCCTGTCAAAAATTTGGAAAATGTTGGCACAAAATACATCAACAATATAATTAAAATCAGAAGAGCAGAATAAAACATCCCAGTCAAATTGACTTAGCTCTTGATACAGGTTGACAAAGTCAGCCTTTCTGTAGTTAGAAGTTATTTTACTATGATTGAATGTAAACTTAGGCTCTTTAATGAATATGGCAGATATCAGCACTCGGGAATTAGGCCGACGCGTAGGACTATCCATAGAATCCTACGGGAAAATTTGCTTTATCCCTACCATGTACAACGAGTGCAGGCCTTGTTACCAGAAGACTATCCTCGCAGACTAACATTCTGTCAGTGGTTTTTGCACAAGAACATTGAAAATCCGTATTTTTTTAAAAAACATTCTAGCGACGGACGAATTTACTTTTACGCGAGACGGGATATTAAATTTCCATAATACTCATTCATGGCAGAATTTGTGGTTTCTTCATGACGGGGCACCACCACACATTTTTAGAGGCGTTATTCAGTATTTCAATGAACATTATCCAAATCGCTGGATCGGTCAAAAAGCTCCTGATCCTCGAAAATGGCCAACAAGATCTTCTGACCTCAATCCGATGGATTTCTGGTATTGGGGAGAACTTAAAGGGATGGTTTATGGGGTTGGTCCAATAACAATTGAAGCACAACTTCGTGAAAAAATTTTCATGCGGCTGAAAGAATAAATGGACAACTTCAAGGACCTAGAGTAAGAAGAAACTGGGTTCGTCGTAATGAAGCTTGTGTGGAAAGTGGAGGACGACATTCTCTCTTCTCTTCTCCTTCTTTAAATACAAAAAAGTGCAGTGTGGGTTTTAAAAAGAAAAACAATGTATGTATCAAAATTGTGTTCCCTATTTATAAGTGGATTTTTTTAATACGTTCACACCAGGTGAAGCGCTGAGACAGTTAGTGGTAAGTCCGTTTTTTTTAATTGTTTGCATTTTACGGGTACATTATCAAATAATGAAATAATACCTAAGAGCCAAAAACAGCAAGCTCCATCTTTATTTACACTGCGTTCCGTCGTAATTTGCGTCTGGCATTGTGGCGTTGTCAGATTTTATTTTACTTTAAAGTCGCTTTCTCTAAAAAAATGCCGTTTTGACACCGATGTTATATGAAACTTTTTGCTTCTTTTAACCCCTCTATCACCCATTTAAATAATGACTATCATAACGTTTACATCGTGTATACCAACCTCTGGGCTTCGTTCTCGTCTATCCCATGTCCAAAGATCGTCACAGCCGTGTCTCAGAGGGTAGCAAGTGTCTTCATCTTGTTGAGCACTAGCGGCGGCATTCCCCATTCTTCCGTCTTCTTCTGAGGATGCCGCCTCCCGCGATTGCTATGCTAAGGGTGAGGGTGAAGATCTCGCTCCATCTTCGTCGTTTGGTTCGTCTGTCGGTAAGGCCCAGTCTGACGGTTCATCGAACCTATAAAAGGCGAAAAGAGTATAAAATCACATAGTTTCACCACTCGCCAAAACGGCTTATTAATCTCCCTATACCCGGTCATATCTTTATTAATTATTATTAAAGATTACATTTAAATATTGACTTAATAACATGGCATATACAGGGTGTTCCTTAATGATATGCGAATATTTAAGGGTGTGAATCTAGGACGGTTTTAGGAAAAATATGGAAATTAATTAATATTTTCAGAACCGCTTCAGATATTTCACTGATATTTAGTACGTAGTGAAAGATAATAAAGCTGCATATTTTTCAATGCAAAAATAATTTTTAGCTTTAACACTGGCGTGCGTACGGGTAATAACTCCGGTATTTTTTAAGAAAAAAATGGTACGCCAATGGTTTTTTGCCAAATAAAAACTATTTTTGAATTTCCCGTTAAATTTAAAACAAATGATCGCGCTTGAATTGTTTTCCTTCGATGCGCCATTTTTGAGTAAAAAAATAAACACCGCACCAAACTGACTCGACGAGGATGTAGTGGTCGTTGATGGATGGCACGTGGGTTCTCTAATGCCCAGATACGACAATTCTGCTTATTATCATATCCGTTCATATCGATGAGGGTTTCATCGCTCATTATCTGTTGTCGGTGAAAATCGTATTAAGCTGCAATATTGCATGACTGAATTGTCGGCGACTTTCATGTCAATAGGCAAGTCTTTTTTTTAAATAGTGCATAATGACCTGCGAAGAATACCCAGTTCTTGAGAACGATGTCTGGTAGACGTCTCAGGGCGCTCCACTTTAACGAAGTCTCTCGATATTTTCCGGAGTACGAACAGTTCGAATACCGACCAAGTCCTTAACTTCACCTGTTTGCTCAAATTTCCGCATCAACTGACGAATGGTGTTGACACTGGCCACATTATTTCGACCGTAATCTTGTCGTAGCTTCCGAATCGACTCATTATTTAAGTAAAACGTTTTAATAATTCGGACGAGTAGCGGTCCATGATGAATTGGACACGTGTGCTTTAAACAACTACTTCGGCGACACCTACTGAAATGTGAGTATCAAAAATGGCGCGCAATTTAAATCAGTCAGTTATATATTGGCCACCCTGTATATAAAATGATATTTATGACATTTTAGAACGCTGCAAAATTAAAATATTTGCGGATGACATATTGATATAATATAATATAAGCATTTGAACACTGCTTTGGAACCCTTAAATAGTAATATTAAAGAAAATATGAATTGTTTTTTTTCCATAATCTCAGTATGAATTTCTAAAGAAAATGTGTATAACACCATCATTCTTCCCATTTTTTATATTGTTCAACTATTTTGTTTGCAGCAAATGAATACGTATTTTCAATATTACAAATTCTACAAAATAAAGCTATAAGAATCATTGTAAATAAAAACAAATGTTACATTTATTTTCTTGGCTATAAGGAAAAATGCGTTTTTTCTGATTTTTTTTTAATTAGGCGTTGCAAATAAATGCTTTACATAAATACCTGTAACCGAATATTATTATTGTGTATTGTTAATATTGCTTTATTATCGTCAAAGATGCCAGGCGGTCATTTCAGAAATTAAAGGAAAGTTCGATGTACTACATTTTGTGCTACAAAAATACTAAAAGTACTGCACAAATGTATCTTGATAAATTTCCCGAAAGAAGTTAGCCAAGTAACTCCATTTTCCTAGAGTTAGCTCAAAATTTAAATGAATATGATACATCCAAAAAGCTTGTTACGTCTAGAAAAAAGGAATCTTTAGAGGGAAAACAGAATAGTATTTTACAAAAAAAGAATATAAGCAGTGCTGAGAATTCTGAGATATCAACTAGACAAATTGAGAAAAATGTAAGATCCAAATCCATCCCCATAAATTCAGAATTTGCCAAGGACTTAGACCATTGATTCCCAAAGTGGTCTATAGCGACCCATAGGGGTCTATGACAACCTGCAAGGGGTCTACGTCAGCGAAAAAAAATTTGGGGGTCCATGAAATTAATGTGGGGGTCCACGATAGTGGATGTCAACACATACACTGATAGTACCTATTTACTTACATCATACTATCTTATAATATCAAAACATATACATTATTTATAAAAGTACCTATGAAGTAAAAAATTTATTATATATGTTTATAAAATTGTGTAAGTTTTAGGATGTTGGTATTCGCTTTGTGGTCGCAATACGTTTTGAACTTGTAAAAACCTGAGAGTCGCAGTCTCAGAGCTTCGCTACCTTGCACTGACTTGTTCAATTCGTCACTCTATAAATACGAATGTGGGACAAATACGTTTATTCGTTTCCTGAATCTTGAAAAGGAAAGTGCTAAGAAAATATTTTAAAAAATATAAACAGATAGTATATCACACAAATTATAGTGAGTCAGTGTTATTTTGTTTGAGAGTGCTGGAGAAAAGTAAGTACATTATTTTTTATTAAATTTTAGTTTTGTACTCGTAGTTAGCAAAGATAGATAAATTACGCCAATCATGACTTTAGTTATTAGTAGTTAAATATTCAATCATGCAAAATTACACGAGTACTCCTCAATAGTTTCTTTTTGAAAGTTTTAGCAATCGGTAATATAATTACAGTGCAATCTCCGTAATTCGAGCTAATTGTTGCAAGAAGATGTTCGAATTATGGAATGTTTTCGGAAAAAGCAAAAAATATTTTTAATATACAGCACTTATTCCCAATACGGGCACTGATTGGTCAGACACCTATTTATTTAATGTTACGTATATTTTACATAACAGATACAAAATTTTATTTTGAGTAGTTTTAATTTAAATTCAATTAATAAATGTATAAATTAACATGTGTTTTTACTTTAAGTTTTTAACACTAAACTTCACTACACTTAGAAATTTACAGGAAATCAATATCAGGTCAGTAGGGGGTCTACCCAACATGGAAAAACATGGCAAGGGGTCTACGACACAAAAAAGTTTGGAGAACTCTGACTTAGACCAAGGAATAGCGAACGGCGCCACCATTTTTGTGGGTGGACATGTGAAGATTTTTAATTTCCCTTCAAAAATAAGTTGGTCTGACGAGAGTATGGTCACTAATAATGGTATCTTTAATCGCCCCAAGACTCATTACTAAGCTCAAGAAAATCTGCGGGCTCAAAAAGTATCCAGATATCAAGAACGTTTTGCGTTTGCTCAACATATGGACCTACCATTTAGCTTTGGCATAGGTTAATAGCTGTTGGTTTCAACAACACGGTGCTTCTGCACATAATTGTAGGCATGTTCGGTAGTATCTTTCTCAGCGATTTCTCCTCTGGACTTTATTGTTTGGGGTTTTACTAAAAACCAATCTTATCATGATACTTTTGAAACTAAACAGCAGTTACGAGAATGTGTAATGGAAGCATTTAATATCATTACACCCGAAATGTCATGTTTTGAATTCTAGTGCTAGTAGATCATATTTATGTTTAGAAAATAATGGCAACCTTTTTTTTTATACTCCAACTACCACGAAGGCCTAAGGCCTAAGCACCCATTGATAGCGTGGGGCTATAGGGGATACATGGGAAAGGGGGGAACGCCACACGGACTCTGGCGAGGGAACACGTGTGCATGCAACATGCACACATTCTGGCTCCGCCTACGAGAACCGCCGGGTGGTACCTCCGCGTTCGACAGTCAGAGACCATCTACCATCTACCACCTACGTACAATCACAACATCTATAGCCAAGAGAAAAATTTCTCCTGGGACGGGACTCGAACCCGCACTGCGCACGGCGACTGATCAGGAGACCGAAGAGTCTACTACCGCGACCACCGCTGCTGCCTATAATTATTGCTATCACCCGAATGTACAAGTTCTAACAAAGAAAATTCTGAATTGTATCAAATTTTAACGAATCACCTACTTGAACACTTATCGCGAATAAATGATATTCGTTATTCTGAATATCACTAGATTGAGCATCATTTTATAAAAAAGTTTACCCCATCAAGTATCAGAAATCACATAATCTTACATATTACATCAAGTACTTATTTACAACGCATACTTAAATAGAAAAAAAATCTTTATAACTAAGAAAATAAATGTAATATGTGATACATAGTTGAATTCGTAGATCAAGATGTTGTCATATACACGGTTTACTTTTTTTCGGACCATATAAAAAATAAAGTTGATGGTATCTCAAAAAAGAAACGTTGGGCACCATCATGTAGAGCCTAAAAAGTGCCAGTGAAAAAGTTCCATTAGTTTTTGATATTTCTTAAAATAATGTCAGAAAGGACTAAGCACGATTTGGTCAAATTTTAGATTTTCCCAACTACATGGCATGTAAATACGCCCCAAAGAAAGCAGCTTTTCCCTAATTCAACATAAGCTGTATCTTCCACCCGTATTGAGATCTCCTTGCATAGGATCCTTATCTAGGACACCCTGTATAGGGGTATCCGTTTCTATTTTTTATACAGAAGTCAAATTATTGACAAAATCTTATTCTTGATTCTTCACGTTGAGAAATTAACTCAGACACATTGGTACCTGTTTTTAATATTCCTTATACCGAAAAAACTGTATCACTGTCTCACCCAACTTGTAACCCAGCAGGTGGATTTCCCAATACAAATAACAATGGCTGGCGCCGCAATATCGATCGCCTATTTACACATTCCCAAACAAATCCTTCAGACTCACGAGGAAAACTCACCTTCTAATCCGAAACTCCCGATCCGATGTGGACTTATTCGCGATTTCCACCGTGGCACTGGTCATTTCGACTCCGGGGATTTTTCCGGGGGCACCTTGCGCTTGGTATCAAGTAAGCGAAAACAAGAGAATGTCCCGACGGCCGTGAAGATGCGTAGGCGCCGCGACGCACGTCGGCGGCGGTGACGTCACTGCTCAGGCGCCGGGTTGCGACCGATACACCGATACGATCGTGGATCGGGGGTGGCCGTGGATAGACTGGCAGTAGCGGGGTTGGCCGTCCTTTGCAACGGGGTCGCAACGGCATTATGTACTTATGAATGCGTATTTTTTAGTGCTCTTGTCTTGTCGATGCGTTTGATCTTGTTTGTTTCGTCTTTGCGCAGTAGCGAGGCGATCCTCCGTTATCCGTTATCAAAATAAGACAGCTTCGTTAGTTACGGGGAACAGGGGACGGCTATTCCGTAAGGCTATATATTTTTTATACAGCGCTGTTTCCGGAATTTGTCGGATAAGTTTAACTAGAATATAACTATACAAACATATTGATTTATTTATTTATTTATATACAGTTTGTTGTAACAGCATAAACTGAGTGAGTAGTTCTAATTATAAGCGATAAACTATTAATTTAACCTTTTTAATAAAAGGAGTATACATAATTTAACATTTACTTACGTTTAATTAAAACTGAAATCAAAATTAAATTGAGATTGTACCAGAAATGATATTGGAGGTGATAACTTGAGTTATGTAAACAAAATTTCTATTTTAGTCTGCCATAGAGCTGTAATACTCATACTTTAAAGCCTTTTTCAGGAAGGTCAAGGTAATGTTAAATAAATCTATATTACAGAAATTATTATGATTTTTTTGAGCCCTGACCAAAGGGGAATTAAGCCCAATATTAGTTCTACGGGACGGTATTCTAAACAGATGATAGGTTCTAAACGTTCTATCAGGAGTGTTAAAGTTCAAGTTTGCCAAAAGATCCGGACAGTCAGTGAGGCCATTCAACAATTTATGAACACAGCAAACGTCAGAAATCGTTCTTCTATCTTTTAAGGAAAACATATTGAACTGTTTCATAATTTGCGTATAATGATGATCTGTAACAGGTTGGTGAGTTTTATGTGCTAACATCTTCAAAAAATTGTGTTGAATTATTTCTATCCTGGATATAGGTACATGGTAAGACGGATTCCATATTACTTATGCAAACATCAATTTGTGCTCTACGTGAGTGATGAATGAGAGTTTCTTATCAATGTATACCCCTAGGTTTTTTACTACATGAAGCTTTTCCAGTTCTGCCGTCCCTATCTTATATCTGAAATCTATAGTGTTCGCTATGTTTCTAGTAAGTCTCATGTAATGACATTTTGTTAAATTCAGGAAGATACTGTTTTCAGTGCAATACTTATGCAGAGATTCCAAATCGCTTTGAAGTTGAAATATATTAGAAATATTCGCCTTAAATCACAAATAAAAAGAATTGCAAGAAATAAATTGAATTGTTCTGATGTTTTTTAATATGCAGTGTGGCAAAGTAGCCTTTTATTGTAGTTCAACTGGTTTTGCGGTCACTTGTACTTCTGATGTTCTGTGATTCTAAACCTTTTCATTTTTTGTTCGGTTTGGACACAAATATATACCGAAACTTTTCTATAAAAAAATGTAACAGGGGTTTAAAATTTCGGTGTTAGCTTCACGTCAAAATCAAAAAACAAAAAAAAAAAAATAAGTAACCTGTCATGATTGCCAGTAGTCAGCACTTTAAAATTTCTACGGTTCACTTTAGTTGTCATAAAAACTCTTTTTTCGTCGACATTCGTTATTTGCTGTTGCTGTCAAAAATAACGTAACGAGAGGCTTATCGATTTGTTATTTTTGTTACACTAAAAACTCTCTAATATCTCCATTTAGTCGCAATTTATGTAAATGTCAGAAATTTTAATCCACTCACGGCTCATGACTACCTATTGAAGTTTGAATATGAAAGAAGGGTAGCAGCTTGAACGGGGTCTTGGGCCCAGAGCGGATCAGTTTGATAAGTGTTAAGTTTTACTGTGAATGAAGTGATGTCAAAATCGAAAAAAAATAATAAGTCAGTACCGTCAAATTACTACGGTCCACTTTAGTCTTTAGTGGGTCATAAAAACACATTTCTCGTTGACATTCGTCACTGGCTGTTGCTGTAAAAAATAAGGTAATGGAAGGCTTAACGATTCATTATTTTTGTTACACTAAAAATTCTATATCACCATTTAGTCGCAATTTATGTGAATGTATGAAATCATCGACTAATGGCGTTATTGAAGTTTATTCGTACGATAATTATTATAATGTTCACATCGGCGTTTATAAAAAAAAACAAAAATTTTTTGACTTGAATATGAAGGAAGGGTGGCAATTTGTTTGATAAGTGTTAAGTTTTATTGTAAATGACACAAAAAAAATTTGCCATGGCTCTGCAGATTAGCGGATTTTATATGTGTTATTAACAATAAACATAGTATATCATTTTCTTGGGTACTTCCATTTTTTGGGGAATTCTTAGTAGTGAAAGGTATCATGTAAATATATCCTGTACCTCCAGTATTCGCGTACATCAGAATAATATTACAAAATCAGCATGGACAGTAATAAGTATTCGGGGGGTGATTTCATTGTTTCTTGATTTTGTCTAGATCCTAGGTCCAAATTGCTTTCATAACGTGAGCACAACATCCTACCGTCTTGCTCTGACCAAATCTATGAAAAGGTACATAAAATGAAAGGAAAAATAATCGATTAACCGATTATTTTTCAACATCCTTACCAACTGGTAGCGAAAGTATATTTCATAGTACCTATGCGGTTTGAATAGAGAAAATGGACCAAGAGCTTATATTCCTATATGTTACATAGCATTCCATTTTTTTACTCCCCCAATAAGCGATATTTTCGCAAAATTTCTCTCGAGTTCAAACTTGTCGAAACTTTCGGCATTTTTTAACCGAAGACTGAATGTTTGCCGAAGGTGGATTTTTTGAACGCATATGGCCGAAGTCTCCGACGAAGGTTAATTCCGTAATTAACGCGATTTTTTCAATAGGGCGGCGAAAGATATGAGATAGTTGAGTAAAAATTCTGGGAGAGTTCGTCGAAATTGATATGGATGTCAACTATTCAAAACTTCCCCAACAGTTTAAAGACAACTCCTGAACCCCTTCTTGATCAAGCAGATGAGTGGACCAATGCAAATTATTAAAATAATTTTACTATAATTTCAAAATAAAAACAGTAAAGTTTTCGTTCAGCTGTGACATATGCTGCCCTTTTATGCAAACTTCCATTCAATGACTTTTCAGAGAAGCTATGCATGAGGGTGGTTGACATCCTCCCTAGCCGTAAGATTTTCGTCGTAATTGACAGCTTCTCTTTTTCACCCCACAATGTCAACGCTGGTGTTACCCATCTGACCATGGGATCGGTCTTTGCTCCAATCTTTTTTCTATTACATACCAACCGTACTATAATCAAATCCAAGCGAATAACCAAAATTTCTGTGTTATGTGCCGCGGTTATAATATGGTTCAAGATGATACACGGGTTGATGACGTCAGTTACACGAATCGCTTGAACGCGTTGGTTTTAACCGCGGTTGTTTATTTTAGAAAAGCGCGTATATAATCTCTTATTATTTTTATTATCACTTAATAATCGGTGCTTTTTCGTCTACAACTGTGTATGGAAAGTTTAAATAAGAAACCTTTCATAATATTCATGGGAGAAATGTTTATTTCAGATTTTTTTTAATGATGGAACCATGGCTTTGTAGCTATGACAACTTTCAATTCTCTAAATTTTTCCGCATGTCAAAGAAAACATTTATTGATTCAGCAGAAATGATGAAAAAAGAAATTAGCAAAACCGTATACAGGTGGATATCATCTAGTGAGTTTATATGGCCATATTTTAATATTCTTGTGGTATATGGCTACACAGGATACTTTGTTAAGCATAGGACTACATTTAAAGTGTCCCCAACAACCGTAATGAGTATAACTAATAAGGTGCTCCACTTTATGGTAAAACTGAAGTCAGCCTGTATCAATTATCTCAAAAATGAAGCTGAAGTACAATAACAATATCCAATACCCGGCAAAATTCTAACTTGTCACATTTCAAATAATAACCAGAAATATAAAACTACTCTTGAGTTGGGTAAATACCAAAATTTTGCGGTGATAACTATGACATATAACAGCTGATTCGTGACGTCACGGATCTTATAACCAAACTGATAACTACACTCGCTTGAACGGATCGGTAAATACCAACCCAAAATGGTAAATACCATTTCCATTTGGTTATCCGCTTGAATTTGATTTTACAGTCCGATATACAGTTTTGCTTGTGACAGTAATCTATGCAGGAATTCAGAGTTCTAAGCCCATCTCTAGCAGTGAGCTTGAGACACTAGAAGCGACTGCCTCTCTCACGAGAGATCTTTTTCACAACAATAGGAATAGCTTAATGCTTGACATTATGTAGGTTTTTCTACAAGATGTTAACTTAACATAGCTCATGCACACTTGTTGTGAACTCGTTTTGTAGTTGTAGAGTTGTACGTGTTGCCTAAGCGTCATGATGCTCTGGTTATCAATGTTTGGCTCTGATGCGATGTAAAATCTGCTTCACTGTTGGCATTCTTAGAGGTCAAATGTGTAAGTTGTATACTATAGCTAGAAGGAAACGGCAGTGCATAGGTGCATCGTCCGGGTGTGTGTACTAACGACATGTGTTGATGATAATTCCATTAGTTTCTTGTCTCAAATACTCTCACTTGAGATTCAAAGCTAGAAATTACTTTTTCTTTATTCATTGTGAATACTACTTAAGCAAATTTGCTGAATTTCAAAAATTAGAGAGGTGAGAAAAGAAAATTCCTGGTGGGTGAAGGAACAAGTGAGAAAATATGCTACAGACAGGACTATTTATGAAAGTGAGAAGGTTACTACAATATTTTTTATTTCCAGTCAATTAAATTTTATAAAAATTTATGTTGCGATGTCAATAGAAAATACAAATCAGGGCCTAGATGTGAGGCTCTGCGAAAATGTTTGATGTGTGATGCACCACTCCTATTTTTTCTGTGATGTGGCTTAAGTTTATACAACGCGGGTGCGGTGGCGATTTCCCGTAGTGCTCCTCAAAGTTTTTGAAAACACTTTGAACATAACCTGTGTTGAGAAACGACAACATATAAATAACCCATCGGGCACAGCTAATAGATATACTTTATTGGCAGCATATTCAGTAATAATTTTCTCACACAGCAAATATCCAACTTTCTTTCCTTCACATCTCAGAGATGACCACTACAGATTACTTGGCTTCACAAAACATATGTTTGCTTTCTGCAACCAACAATGCGTGTAGTTGAGTCATTCCTCCATAGATGGACGCTCACAGCGATCACAGCGAGCAAACGTGGAACGAACTATTTCTACCCTAAAAACTACATATTCTGCAAGATGACATTTTATACGTTTTTTTACATAATAGCCGTGCCGATATTTAAGTTTCTACCTACGTGGCTGTTTCAGTATCAAATACTCACTATTTGAGGGATTTTCCTTCCATAACTTAAATATTTCATAAACATAAACATTTGTTCCGTAACAATTTGGTCCAAGAAATTAAGTTAAACCAATGGAGTTACGCCAATGCAATGCATATCCGTAGCGCACCATTGCACTGTCTAGATCAGAGTTGAAGAGACAGGGGTAGTTAGGGAGAGTTATACTGGGGCGCAAAAGACCCTTTCCATTATATGCACACGCATTTCTTTAATAGATAGCTGGAGTTCAATGACCACTTTATTGATAGATACGTTCAGCATAATAGATGCGTAATAATTAGGGTGTTCATATGTGAAGTTGAGGATGCAAAATTAAGATTGCTGTTCGTTTGTTTTTCTTAATATCTGTAGGATGATAATTATAGTGACGCAACTTGGACATGAGTATTCATGAAAAGCGGTTGTAGTTGTGAGATACCGGGCTGATGATATCGCATTCAGACTTACACACCTCAAAAGTACACCTCTCCCGTAAAAAAAAAATGAGAGACCTTTTTTGTAAGGGCAAAATAAAGTACTTCTTGTTTTGAACGAGCGTATATTCTTAAGTAAGTTTTTACAGACAAAAAGTATATTTTAAAAAAGTAAATATTTTTGTGAAGTTACGGCTGGTTCCCCAATTTGAGATACTGTTCAGAAAATCCATTTCCTTCGCAGAAAGTGCAAATGGAAATTTTATTGGTGATCTCTCCACAATCTTCATGTGCCCATCTACTACAATGGCTGCATTTTGCCCATCTTTCACACTTCTTATGTTCGGAAAATCGACATGTACAAAATAAACATTTAGCATCGCTTCCACCGCTTTCGTCTGAATATGAATCCTCCAACTTAAGGCTTCCGCTGCATTCTGAACTGGAGGGGGAAGGTATCCGAATCCCTTTGAGGCTTTTAAATAATCGATCTCCTTATTCTTAACAGATTTGACGGACTTTATCATGTCATTTGGGTTCCACTTTTTGTGTTTCGGTGGCATTTGCAATATAAAAATAATAGAATATAATTACATATAAGTCTCTCTGGGCTCTAATTCAAGTCTCAAATTAGGAACACTTGGGTATCTCAAATTAGGAATTTTCCGTTAAAAAAAGTTTACACAAGCATATTTAGGTTAGGTACCTAATAAAATCACAACATTGTAAAAGTAAATAAATAAGTTATTTGTATACTACTAAATTTATATCAGACTATTGTTCTAAGTAACCTGCCTTAATTTTAGTAATCACTTTTCTCGCGCTATTAAAAATATTTTTAACTCTGAACAAGTAACAATTTGTAATGTCTCAGCAAACCATGTGCAAACCTAAACTGTAAACACATCTAGAATACTACTGCGTCTTAATTCAAAACTTTTTGGTATTACTAGAAGGTGGCTCTACAAAGTTACACTACTGTCTCAAATTAGGCGCTTCTCAAATTTGGTTCCTTTCCTCTACATTTACGACTTTTTTTTTGAATTATCGGTACGTACAAATTGAAAATTTCCTATACGTATGTTCTCTGGATAATATTATTGTTACTTTGTATGATACAATTGAAAAATTGATCCTTACGAACTGCATTAAAAAAATAAGAATCAGAAACTTGAAGAGAGAAACAAAATGTATTTCAAAATGTCGATTTCTTTTTTGTTTTGAATTCACCAATTATCTGAAAGTTCTGAAACGTGTAAAAATCAAATTTGTGAATTTGTTTTTTTTTGCTCATAAGCTGCGTTGCCTGTGCACTATTTTTCAAAAATGTACTTGTTTTACCTATTTTGACCATAAACTATTGAAAATCAGTGCTGCCATCTCCAAGTTTAGACCACTAAACATGTTTAGGCCCGTATCGTCAGTCGTAGGGCGCCTTTATGGCCTCCTTGATTATCGTAGTTTTCTACTTCTCCGTGTCAGCGCTCTATTTTGAGGTCATGTCACAAACATCTACATATTTGCATCAAATTGTACTTGCTTTTGAGTTATATCATGTTTTATCAGCCTGAAATTTCTTACAATTTAAAAAGAAAAGATATCTTTACAATAGTATGACAATCAAGGAGGCCATAAACGCGCCCTACAATTGTAGGGACGACTGACGATACGGGCCTTACACTAGAAGAATGTGAACGCAAAAGATGTTAACCGACAGACCGAAATTAGAGACATGGATATCATGTGAGCATGATAATATTACAAAACATCAAAACCAGTTGTCCGAAACTGAAATTTTTGCGATCACATTGCTTTTTCGTGTATGCGTAAGCGTTTGAAATAAGGGAAGATGAATCTCGAACATCCCAAGTAGAGTTAGCCAATTATTATCGTTAATATTATATGAATTGTGATAGTCTTGAACATTTAGAATTTCCGTTAAAGTTGCCATGTTGAAAATCTTCGAAACTATAATCTTACAATCCTTGCGTCATTGGTAGAAGATCCGGGATATTGTCTTTAAAGTCAAAACCATTTCCAGCGACGAAAAATAGTGAGAGCGAATTATTGCATTCGAATATTCTACCAGTACACTGACGTCCATCTCTACACCGAACGGCGCATGGTGGCGCTGCTGTGGCGGCTTTACGACGACTAACCTCACTTTTCTGACATTCGTACATTCGATTTGTTGACGTCGTGAATTAGCAACTTTCGTGTGTATTTCTGGAAAGTACTGAAGGAATATGCCCCCGCACGGACACGGAAAGTGCTGTGGGGATGCTCATGCAGCTCATGCTCACGATGAAGGGGAACAAGGAGTTCTGTACAGTCTTTACTCTAAAATTAACAAGGAAGATCTGGAGTGTTTGAATGAAACCACAGAAGGTTCTGGAAAGTTGGTGTTCAAACCTTGGGAGGAACGGCTGAATTTTGATACGGTAAGTTTTCCTGTCATTGGTACTCATGAACTGGACTGTTTGTTTTGGAATATGCCAGTGGCATAGCTATGCACGCTCTGTGGGGGCCCATGGAGATTTTGTTTGACTTGCAGATGTTTTAATAACTATTGAAAAAAGGTCATACTTTCGTGTTGGGCCCTTACTGTAACCTTCTCTCATTTGATGATTTCTGTTAAATCCAGGAGCAAATAAATAATAATAATATATAAATAATTTTTTATAAAAAAATGTTCTTATGAACATATGCCTGGAGTCAATTTGTTTCTGAGATACTGGGCATCGAAATCAGGTACTTATTTAGCTTTAAGTAGATTGAAATTATTAGGTCCAGTGGCATCTCAGTGGGCACCACAGTTTGGAGTTTTTATATTTTTTTAGATTAAGCAACTGAAAATACTTTTTGGTCTTTTGTGTTTTCATCTTGTTTACTATGAAAATTAACATTCAACTATGTCATCTATTGATAATTTTTTGGAATAAGTACAGTGATTTTTTGTTTTTACTTCCTACTCCTACTGGCAAGGAAGTGTTCGAAAATTTTCCATATTGAGATATTTGGATGTATTTGACATGTTCATCATGAAACTAATCTAATCTTATAACCTATAACTTGAGAAGTACTGCTCAGATTCCAAAGAAATTTTTATATGACATTGCTACTGTACCAAGGATGCAAAAGCTTTATAGTTGCCTCCAACCCCAGTAATTCTAAGCACCTATGCAAAACATAGTCCTTCATGAACTGATGATAGCTTAGCATAGTGTATAGTGGGTTCAGAATCAACTTACTTGACACCTTTAATTTCTCGAAAACTTAGCTAGATATGAAAAAAATATGGACTAAAAAGCATATTTTTTTCTGCTTAATAAAAAAAAATATAAAAATAAAAAAGTCATTGGCATATTTTTTTTCTGAAAAATAAACTTCAATGAACTGTATCCCAGAATAGTTAGGAAACACTGTATTTAGATCATATGTTTCCCAGAGCTGACTTTCCATTTATTATACCAAAGATAGTAGCGCTCCAGTTTCAAACTTTTATTCTTATTTAAGTTTCGTGCTTGTTTTGATTACTAACATTTCTTTTTCAGTATGTAGAATCTGATGCGGATGAAGAACTATTGTTTAACATTCCATTTACTGGCAATGTGAAGTTGAAAGGTATTAAAGTAATTGGTGGAGATGATGATAGCGCCCCTTCAAGAATGAGACTGTAAGTAAATATTAGAATGTTGAAAGTTGTATTTCAAAACATTAAAAGTGCCTACAATTTTGCTATTCTTCAGGTTCAAAAATAGACCTGGAATGACTTTTGATGAAGCAGCTTCAGACGCTGACCAGGAGTTTGATCTCGTGAAAGATAGTACTGGTGCAGCAGAGTATGCCACAAAGTAAGTGAATTGGATTTTGACAAAATTTTGCACCAATATTAAGCTTTACTTACTTCGCCTATATCGAAGTTTGCATAATATATCTTGTCTATAGTTATTAATTTTGTTTGCCTCAATTTCTTGCAATTATTATTGCTCCCCTGTAGTTACCATTTTTTCCGTTTCAGAATTGTTATATTTCAAAACGTTCATCACCTAACCATTCACTTCCCAAAGAACTTCGGCACGGAAAAAACGAAAATCTATTATATTGGCTTGAAAGGTGAATGGTCAGAGGCTCACCATCATGGTGTCACAATATGCACGTATGAGGCTAGACCAATGCCAGAGGATCATGCACATAAGAGCCATTTAGACGACATCAATTCTCCACCACCAGTTGGATCCTAAACACTTGTTTGATATATTTTTTACAAATGAGGCGTTTATATACAAAACATTGAAATCAGTATATGACTGATTTGTATTCCCTACACAATGAAAACAAATTCTTGAATTCCTTGGTCAAGTTTTTGCTTGGTATATATACGTATATTTGGTATTTTGAAGGAAAGTGGGCTAGGAGTAAATGCCTAGCAGATCTGCAATATTTTGCTTAAATCTGATTATCTCGATGTGTTGTTTATAAATGCTTCAGATGTACTTTGGTTTCTTTCAGTTTCAAGTTAATGCAGCATCATTTGACATGGGTCCACTGTTTCTGAATAAATGATATGGTTGCATTGTCATTGTATGTTTTAAAAATATTATCTTTCAGCAGCATGTTCTCAATCTTAAACTTTCATTTTTTATAACTATTGGCTCACCAAAAGAGTTACTTATGTTTAGAAGTATAATTTATTTATTGAAGAATTCCTGGCACTATATTATGCTCATATTAACTTGCACATAAATAATCTTCATTAGCTTCTAGTAATTATAACTCAAGGCTTTTTGAAATAAACATTTATTGATCAAATATTCTTTTGTTAGATATTAATCAAAAATAAAATCAATTTATGTTAGTCTGCATTTTTGCATTTAGTGAACCCCAGTTGCTGGAAAACTAAAGCTATCTGACAAACAAATGAGATATTTGATGTTGTTATTCAAGAGTGGTGTGAAATGCCTTGACTAATGTTTTTTATTTTGATCCAATGTTGCTTGAGTCTATTTATTTCCATTCAATCCCAGTGATGTATCTCATTAGCATAGTACAGTTTTTTTTTGTACTAAAAATATTTCTGTTCCACATTATAAATGTCCGACAACATTTGTTTTTCATTGACCTATTTTTACTTGTCTGTGTTCCGTCAAGTAGCCGGTCTGATACCATGTTTTCCATCAGTTTTCTCCTTATGATAGACCATTTTTCCCATCAGTTTCCTCTATATGATAGACGTGTTGAAATATAAACCAGACCCTTTACGGTTCCTGGATGTAGCCTAAATCACATAAGCTCTCAATCCCCTCAATTTTTGCGTTACTATTGGTCAGTTAGTAGGAGCGTAAAAATTGAGAGATTGATTGGTTGTGTTTGTTGTGATGCGGCATAAATGCTATTTGAATAGTGTACAGGCTGACTCAAAAATCATATCTTTAGACCAGAAAGTGCATCCAAAAATAACAAAAAAAGTCCCCATGAACATAGCTCCTGAAATGCTTTATTACCAATGAACAGGATGTTGTAAATTTCTTCGCCATTGATGAGACTTATTAAGTACAAAACATGCAAATTGAGGAAGATTACTCATTACATACAATTTTTAATGCGAATTTGGGAACATAGGGTCAAGTGGTGCAAAAATGAGACATTCGATTTTTCCCAATGCAAAAAAACAATAACATTGTAAAAAATACGTTACAAATTACTTCCACATATATTCAATTGAAATATGTAATGAATAATAAATAAACGTAAACACAAACATCGAGAAAAAACTATCGCATCTGATTGTGCATTTTGCTTAAAAAATCTTTTAAATTGTATTTATAAACTTTTCCTGTTGCGCCGCTGTACGTGATCGTAGAGACTCGGCAAGTATCGCGTTTTCAAAATAACAAATGCGGCTATGATATTCCATATCGAATTTAGTCTATTTTTATTTGTTGGCAAGCAGGCACGTCGTGAATAACAGGTGCAAAAACGAGACACCACAAAGTTTAAAAACAAGACACGTGCCAGATTAAAAACAAGACAGCTTTTATACCTTTGATAATAATGCCGAAGGTTTACGTTCCCAAAAAGCGCCCCTACGACAAAAAGAACATGGAAACAGCACTAAAACTAATAGATAATTGCACTTTATCTCTTAGAAATGTAGCTAAACAGTTTAAAATTGACGAATCTGCTCTTTCGAGAAGACGTACTCTTTCACTTGGTAAACAGGGAAGAAAAACTTCTCTAACCAAAGAAATGGAAGTAGACTTAAGTGATAAGATAAAAATTATGACAAAATGGGGGTTTGCTCTCACCAAACCAGAGATACAAGCAATAGTTCAAACCTATGTACAAGAAAACCACCTTACTAGCCAGTTTAAGGAAGAAAAGCCCGGGAAATATTGGTTTAAAATCCCTAAAATTTTTGAGAGCAATGTAGAAGTAAAATATCTGAGGCGCAAAGGATTTAAATTTACTTTTCCGGCCATTGGGGAAAAGTACTTCATCGACAAAAGCAACATAGAAATGAAACTTCCCCAGCCAGAAATAGAAAGCAAGTTTTCTACTTTAGCTCTTAAAATCGTATTGAAAATCTTGTTTTACCCCTTTTTTGAATTAGGTATGGTTTATTTAACTTTTTTTGGGTTTGTTTTCTTTTTAGTACAATAAACATAGTTTTGTGTTTAATTATGTGAGTTTTCTTTAAGAACGTTGTCACAATTTAAAACCTAACTATGTTATTTGACTTACTAAACGCTTTAAAACCCTCGTTTTTATTCCCCAGGGTCTCATATTTTGCCACACTGACGTAAAATGACTCAAAGGCCAGAAAATACAGTGTCTTGTTTTTAACCTCTCACTGTCATTTTTCGCCTAAATAGTGGTTAAAAACGAGACACGGTTTTTTAACAAAAACGCCCTTCATTATGAATATTATGAACTTTTTTTAACGTGAGGTATACTACATGGCTTTCTATATACGGGGCAATATAACAAAGCCTTAAAGTCCGTTTTTTTGTTGACAAAAAATTAAAAGATTTAAAAATCGTCTCGTTTTTGCACCACTTGTCTACTTTGGTACCAGGCCCCCTTTCAGTCCAGAGCTCTGACGCACAGTCCACTTGTCTGTGTTTCGTAGTCGATGGTGGCTGCCATGGTGTCATGTCCGGCGAGTTGTGAGGTTAGTCATAGCAACGTTGCCAGATGATCGGTACTAGCGATAGGGCAGGTGAGACATTTGATGCGGATGCATCAGAATCTGGCAACTGTGTTTTTAGACAATTTATCCATTGAAAAAAGGCTCTTTCTACTATAATTCGTTCCGGGTAAATACAATACGTGTTCAATTGAAGTACAAGAGTTTTCATGTTTGAGATCGTTGCAGTTCTATGTCCTTGACCATTTTTAAAACTTGATCTTGGACTTGATCATCCATGTCAAACACAAGTTTATCCTAATTTCTTGACAATTTACAAAACTGTGTAATCGCCATTGACTTCACTTGAAGGTCATCATGGTTAAGGTCAGATCCAAGGTCATCATTGAATATCCGGGAAAAAATCATGAAAATAATGTCTCAATCGTTTCCCTATACGACTAGTCGTTTTCTAGATGTAAAGGCGCAATTCCACTAAGCATGTAGCATTCGACATTGACGCATGCGGCACACTGTTTTTTCATAGAGGCAACACAAAGCGACAAAAAATGCCTCCTTGCCGCATGCCACAATTTGCCCGTTGTTGCCTCTCGAGGGCGCCGTCAGCGACATAAATCCACGTGTTGATCAGTGTCGCCAGCTATCCAAACCCGTTCGGATCGGTGCCGCTTGTAGCAGGTGACAAAATGGAGTGGACTAATGAAAAAACATTATCTTTAATTGAAGATTACCATAATTCGAATGAATTATGGAATAACAAATCGGAAAGATATAAAGCATGATTAAAGCAGGATAAATTACAGGAATTGTCAGGTAAATATAATTATTTCACGCTGTATGCGATGATGAGACAAAAATAGTTGGTGGCTTCAGTCTTTTAGACGTATACGATTGTTTGCTTCTTGTCCAGCTGCCTCCTTGACTAACCAGTAGTAGACGAGCAGACCTATACTGCACTGGCGAGGGCTAATGAGCCCGAAACAGTACTGCCTGTGGTTGGTTATGGTTTCAGGGGGACAAGAAGCAAACATCTCATTTTCTTTCCATAGTTAGCTTATTTATTAACGGTTGATATCTTTAAATAGGAAAATACAACTGTTAAATATCTTAATGTCACTAGCAATCTCACGCGGGGCGTTATTGCTTCCCGAAAGTTGGTATCAGATTTTCTTATCATAGGTGAGATTTTTTCAAGTAACTAGTGAACATTGTCGTTACTCGTCCGTGTGAAATTTCGGAATAAAGCATCATCGTCAGCCACCAAGTTGTACAAATTGTACTGAATTTCTTGACCATCTTCGTATATATTTCTCCAATATTCTGGCGTTTTTCTTTTCCGATCCGAAGAAATTACTAAATAAGCAGCCGCCGCGACTGTCTGTAATGACATGACGTACTAAACTGGAGTTGCCTGAATTGAATCGTGAAGACGTATGCTACACTCATGTACGACAAAGCGCATGCCACATAGGGAACAAAATCCGCATGCGGCATTAATAGAATTTTGGGCAACACTGCCGAACGTCAACAAGAGGCAACACTATGAAACAAGTATGCCACATGTCGTTCATTGTTGCCTCAGTGGAATTGCGCCTTTACACAGTACCTGAGTTTGACCTTGACCATGACTTCCGAAGGTCAAAATTTAAGAATGGTTAAGGCCATATTTGAACGTAAAATTATCCCTTTTTGGTTGCAGCGGTGGTCATAGCATTTATGATTAGATAAATATGAAGAGCAGGTGCCTGATTTTTACCACTCGATCAGCACTTCTGATAGCAAATGCCTTTGCGATAATCGAAGAGCGCGAATGATGAGATACGTCTCACGATTCGGGTCTAGTAAGATAATTTTTACAGCTAGATATAGGCATTAGCTTGAAAAAAAAAATGGCAGAAGGTCAGCTAGGAGGGAAGTGGGGTACCATATAGAAATATGATTTGCTACACCTTTTTTTGTTCCAAGTGTTGAACATGGGATATAGGGGTACATAAAAACAGGAAGAGACATTATATCCGTTTATTTAACAACAAAATAACTGGAAATCACTAAGTTTCATCCTAATTATTATAAACTTACTCCTATGCATTTAAGCCTTAAAAACTTAGTGATTTTATCTGTATGGTTTTCATAGTTGGTAGTATAACATATATTATCAATAAACTCCATGTTTTGTATTGGATTTGTTTTTACGTCTACATTTTGGAGCATGAATAGTAGGTTTGAAGGGGTAGTAGACAATACTAGTGAAGAAGATGGTAGTTAAATATGTTAATTGTTTGTAAATGTATCTGCATGCGAAATACTAACGTTGAAAATACGTTACATTGAGAAAGCCACTCTACTGGTGTAACGTCAATGTCTTCACAGATATTAGATTTTTCCATATAAATATAAATCAATTTACAAGTGCATTTGCAAATTGCTAACATTCATCAGTCATTTGGCCTAACAATATAATTATGTAAGTATATACAACGAATTAATAAAGTAGCACATTTAGCTTAATATAGTAGAGGGAGAAGAGAACTGAATCTTCATCAGGAAACATTTTTGAATTGAAGTGTAAAATGCTTGAAAAAATGGTGTACAAGGCAGATGAAGTGGCAGCTCAGAATGTGCTACTTTCTATTAAAAAAATTTCTTACGACTATATATTATATACATATAGTCTAAAATACCATTTGATAAACGATTTTGTATATGATATGGTTTTTAGCATATCATTAACAACGACATACTTGCTCTAATCACATATATTTAAACGCCGAGTATAGCAAAACACGTTTGACATCTATAATATGAGATAATGTTATACCCATGCATCGTAATTTACATAGTACAGAAATTTTAGTAGAAATTGGAAAAGAAGATTTTTGTCCAAGATATTTTTTCACTTTAATAAAATGTTAATATCACATCATATTAAGTCTGAAGATCCATGCTACTGAAAATCATTCTAAACAAATTTGTGTCTTTATACACACAGTTACTTCTTGTTGTGTTACTACATAATCATGCAGTTATTAATACACAAGTTGACATCATGTGTCACCTAGGGAGTGTTTCCTTGCATAAACTACATAACTGAAAGTCTTCTGTCAGATGTCATTAATATAACAAATTTTCTGGTTTGGATAAAACGCTTTTGGCATAATAATGGCATGCTTTTGAGGAACATATATCTTTTTGAATTATGAGTCTGGATCAAACGATTTTTAACTACATAAACAATTGGAAAGAAGGAAACGTGTGTCATGTAGTAAGTTCATAGTATATTTTTATGCTATGATGGACAGTAGATTTTTTTAGATCTGGAAACATAATGTCTACATAATGTCAACATTTGAGTGTAGTTGAATGTAAAAATATTTTTATATCTGATATATAATTTAATCCACGTATCTACACAAACTAACATATTACACTCTTGATAATGAGAGTCCATTGAAACCTAACAATTACATATAAATAGTAAGCATCATAGTAAATATAGTATAACTAACCATTTCATTATAAAAAATGTTACCCACGAACCTTCGATTCTAATACTGCAAACATAGGTTTATGGCATCCCAAAAGAAAATTTCAGCATTTATGTGTAATATTCAAGGCCTAAGACGATTTGGTGTCGGTTTAACCGGATCCTCGCTAAAGGAAGTTAAAGAAAGGCACGTTTAAAAAATCTGTCTCAGCTTTTAGCTTTAACTTTGCGTTGAAATATGCACGATGCTTGAAAACTTTGGTAACACTGTAACAAAACATGCGGTTTAGTAGATTGAAGCAACAAACCACCTTAGACCAAAAACCCTGTAAAACCCCTTGTACGCTAAAACAAAACCAACATTTCACTTATGTATAGAATAGTTTTATTTGATGTTCTACGTACTGAAAAATGAAAAAACGTTACTTATGAATCGAGACACTTGAAGTCTTTCATTAAAGCAACGTAATTGAATAGGTGAAAATGGTGGTTCTAGCCGTTTCTAAACAAAACACGTTCTATTCATTGGACAGTATTATTAGCAGAAGCTTGTGTAACCACAACTGTGATCGCAGCTTCAGTGACATTTTCTGAATTAGCTCCATCTGCATAGAGGACGTCCACCATACTCGCTGGTTCTTTTATCAGTTCCTCGGGTACTTTCTCAGCACCTGCAGCTGTCGTGAATGGTACGCTAGTGGTACTGGTTTCTTCCGGAGGTGGTACCGTGCTGGTGTTGGGTAGGCTGTTGCTGTTGGTGAATAGTACTTTGTCTATGTAGAACATCGTGCCTAAGTTGTAGACGAACACTTCGCTTTCTACGATGGTAGCTTCATTTATCTTGACTTTACCTGCAACAAGGGATTAATGTCAGAGAATCAACATAAAACCGTATCGGTTGCCATTGAGATGCCATTATACAGGGTGTTTCAGTTTATTGTCGCATAACTTTAAGATTCGATAGAACTTTTAAAATTAATGCATAAAGTCTATATAAACATGGGTCGAAAAATGCGTGGCTTCCGAAATACAGGGTGTTTAAATTTACTTTCTAAAATAGTTTTTTTTTGAATATTTCGAACAATATTTGATGTATAACAGTGAACATTGGTATACAAGGGTTTTTTGGTACGACAAAACGAACCATGGGCATAGTTTTACTGTAGCCGCTAGAGGGCGCTCTCTACTGTACCTGTAGTGTATTAAAATGACCGAAAATTTTTTCTTAGTGCAATTTTTTGCTTTTTGAATAAAAAACTGATGCTTCGCACCTTTCAACATAAAAAAGCTCTCTTGTAAATTTTCGTTATAGTTAGCCGTTTTTGAGATATTTCGATTTTTAAGGTTCGATGCATTTTTAATTATTTATGATAAAATAACGTTAAAAAGTCAGTATCTCGATAATTTTTAGAAGTAGGCTGTGCCTGCAAATATTTTTGAAATTGAAAGCAGAATAAGGTTAAACGTCAATTAGTTGACAGTTAGTTTTGTTGTCTGTTGAAACCTGAAACGTTTTTTTGCAATTGTGAATGCACGAAATTTAGTTTCTTTTACCTGTTTTTTTTGTAAGTTTTATAAAAATGCCATTTTTATTCTCCAATCAAGAGTTAGCGGATACTCATTTTGTGTACGGCTTTGTAAATGGAAACGCAGCAGAAGCAGCCAGAGAACACGCACGAAGATTTCCAAACAGACGACATCCAACTTGCTCAGTATTTGTAAGAGTGCATCGCCAAATAATTGAAAATGGTTTTGGAAATCTCCAAAGGGATCAAAACATAAATGTTCGTCAGCGCAGATTTACCCGTATGATTCTGCGTGAGTTTGATAGAGATCCGACCACAAGTGTTAGGAGAGTTTCTGGTTCACCGTGTTCTTAGAAATGACCATAGACGTCCTTACCATTTGCAACCTGTGCAAGGACTACAGCCAGGGGACGGAGAACGAAGAATCACATTTTGTCAGTGGATTCTTGATAGAACTGATAATAATAGGGAGTTTTTAAGTAACGTTTTATGGTCATGCTTCACTAGACGTGGAGTGGTAAATTTTCATAATCAACATATTTGGTCGCATGAAAATCCGCATGCAGTTCGGGGAAGAAATTTTCAGCATGAATTTAGTGTGAACGTGTGGACGTTCTTGGAATTTTTAAAGGCTGAACATGCAAATATGTGGGATGATTTTATGTTAGATTTAAGAAGATTGGCCTGGTTCCAGCTTGATGGTTGTCCAGCTCATTATTCGAGAATAGTTAGAAACTGGCTGGACGAAAATTATCCAGAAAGATGGATCGGCCGTGGAGGACCAGTCGCCTGGCTTCCACGATACCCTGATCTAAAACCATTAGATTTCTTTGTGTGGGGATTTCTAAAAGAAAAAGTGTACCAGACTACCGTAAACACAAGAGATATGCTAATAGACAGAATCAGGAATGCATGTGATGAAATAAGGCCTTATTTGAATAATGCTATACCACGTTCAATCATTCGTAGATGTGAATTGTGTATTGAACAATTGGGTTTACATTTCGAGCAACTACTTTAGATTTTGTATGTATGTCCTAACTATCCAATAGCATTTTAGTTGTAAATAATTAATTTAATTTGTTAAAAATAATATTGGAAAATTAAACAAATTAATATTCTGTTTTTTGTGTTTATTTGGAGTTAGGAATTATTGCTGTGTTAAAAAAATCTAAACGATCATCTTAATTACTTGTAATGCCCAAATCGAAAATGTAAAAAAAATATTATTTTCCCATAAATAATTAAAAATGCATCGGACCCTAAAAATCGAAATATCTCAAAAACGACTAACTATAACGAAAACTCACAGGAGAGCTTTTTTATGTAGAAAAGTACGAAGAATCAGTTTTTTTATTCAAAAAGCAAAAAATTGCACGAAGAAAATTTTTTCGGTCATTTCAATACAATACAGGTACAGTAGAGAGCGTCCTCTAGCGGCAACAGTAAAACTATGCCCATGGTTCGTTTTGTCGTACCAAGAAACCCTTGTATACCAATTTTCACTGTTATACATCAAATATTGTTCGAAATATTTAAAATTAACTATTTTAGAAAGTAAGTTTAAACACCCTGTATTTCGGAAGCCACGCATTTTTCGACCCATGTTTATATAGACTTTATGCATTAATTTTAAAAGTTCTATCGAATCTTAAAGTTATGCAACAATAAACTGAAACACCCTGTATACGTCAGTGCGAAAACCTTGGAAAGTACAAACCGAGTACTCGTATCCCTAATCAATCGCTGACTTTTGTAAAACAAGAAAATAAATGAATCTGGGACGTTTAACCATACATTCTGAGATGTTTATGTCTTAATGGATGTTGTACAATAACTTGAGTTTAATATATATTATATATTTAATATTTGAACTTACTGAAACGCATGTTTGCTACTTGGTTGTTTACATGCCAGTTCCCTGTATTAAGATTCTTGAAAGATGTTAAAAAATCAAAATCTACAAACTAAAATGTCGGTTATTGTTAATTGGAGATATTATTTTCCAAAAACTAATTATTTTTTATGTGGTACATTAAGAGGACTTAAATTTCACAGTTTAGAGATATTGACCCTTATCGATCTTCAGGAAAAATAATAGATATTTATTTTTTAAAATATCGCGAATGACTTTCTGTTACCGACTTTCACTTACCGTTTTCTCTTTTCACAATAATCGTCTCATTTCCCAATGTCGCAAGTTGTATTCTATCTTTCAAATCCTTGTCATAGAGCCTTCCTTTGACAAAGTGATTTAACAGAATCCGCAGACCATCGCCTGTTGATAAGTAGTTATCTGGCATCTTGTCCAGACCGATTTCTTCAAAAGCTGTGTCTATTGGTACGAAAAACGTGTAGCCTGTACCCGAGACGTGCGGCGCCAGGTCGGCTAAATTGAGAAATCTGAAAAATATAGAAAGTATACTTACAACAACATTAGGAGTAAATACGTTCTTGAGTGGAAAGAAAGTTGTCGTAGGCAAAATCTGGAGTACAGTCACAGTAAGGGCCAGTAAAATCACTCTGGCTAATATTTGTCAAACGAGTGGATTTTACCCGCATGCACATGTTGACGGCAGTGTTGCCATACGTAGCGGAATTCCGCTATTTGTAGCGGATTATTTTGAGAAGAGCGGCGTAGCGGCGGTAGAGCAAATTAGCCCAAAATGTATCGGAATTTATTACATACAAAACTATCATATTTATTTCACTGTTTTAACCTTAATAACGTTCTAAATCCTAAATAGGCAGTGGCTAGAGTCTGATTTATTATCACATTAATAATAAAATTGGTGCATTTGGTGCCGCTTGAGCCATCTAGGAACAGAGAAGAGAATTATTCCACTTGCCTTTTTTTTCAATAACAGATGGCGTACGCACTGCTTTCAATACTAATCGTTTCTAACAGGTCTCAGCAGCAGACATAATACTAGGTTTCTCGCTTTGTATTGTATTTTTCAGCTCTGGGTATATAATGTTTAGTTTCGTTTATATTAGTGTTCTTATTTTTGTGTTGATCATTTTATTGATATATCATTTGCTGCAGATTTTAATATTAAATCTACTGGTAAGTAACAAAACTACTTAAATATCTAACATATTATAGTTTGATCCAGAAATAAATCTTAGTCGCGAAATTTGTTTTTAACGCTTTTTCTTCTGGAAAAATGGAATAATGGAAAGGCGACAGCAGACCATTAACGATTTTTTTGATAAAAATCCTCCTAAAAAACAAACGGTGAAACCAAACGTGGCCGTACCATCCACTTCGACTGCATCTGTGTCGGACTCGGAGCATCCCGAACCTGAATACAGACAAAATAGAAGAGCGGAATCTAGTGGAATCAGGTCTGAGCCTGATAATTCGACTTGCGAATCTCAGGATAACCAAGAGCCAGAGCAACCTATTAAGAAAAAGACACGAAAACAAATGTTTACTTCATCATGGCTAGAAGATCCGTTATTTAAAGGCTGGTTGGGACCTATTGAAAATGACAAGTTGAAGGCAAAATGTAAAGCTTGTAATCAAATAATGGGTGCTAAAAAATCAGATTTAGTGAATCATTCGAAATTAAAAAGGCATGCCACTAATGTACAAGCAATTTCGAATGTAAGAACGTTAGATAGCACTTTTCAGTCTCGGGAAGCACGTGAGTTGGAAAAATGGCAAATATTTGCTTGCTTAAGATATAGTCTTTTAGTCATTATATAAGTTTTAGAACAGTTGATCATATAACAGGAGTTAGTCAATTATGTTTTAAAGACCCAGATCTCTCTAGCTCACTTAAATTAAAAAGATCCAAATGCATAAGTACAATTAAAAATGTGCTGGCGCCTGTTATTAAAGACGAAATAATTTCAGAATTGGAAAATAAACCATTTTCTATTTTATTGGGTGAGAGTACAGACCTGAGCAATACAAGACTACTATGTATTCTTGTAAGGTATATTCATAAAAATTCAATTAAAACCCATTTATTAGATATAATTAAAATAAACGCAGATGAAGGTACCGCCAAAGGTTTATATTCTCTTTTTGAAAAATGCGTTATATCCAATCAAGTAAAAATTACCAATATTGTTGGATACTGTTCCGACAACGCTAGTGTTATGATGGGCAATAACGAATCTTTCAAAACTTATCTTTTAAAAGATAATCCTAATATAATTGTCAATGGCTGCATTTGCCACTCTGCTCATTTAGTGGCGGTGGCGGCAGCTGAAAAGATTCCAAGCAACGTTGAAGCTCTTATACAAAACTTATATTCTTACTTCTCAAGAAGCCCAAAAAGGCAGTGTGTTCTTGAAGAATTACAGGAATATTTCAAAAAGTGAAAATTAAAAATTTTAAGCCCTAGTAAAACAAGGTGGCTTGCTTTATCCAAATGTGTTGATAGAGTTTTGGATCAGTGGGACATCTTGCTTAGCCTATTTAGATTAGCTTCCATTGAAGACAAAAATCCTGTAGCAAATGTAATACTTAATGAGTTACAGAATCCACTTGTTAAGGCGTATTTAATGTTTTTTAAATTCGTGTTGCTCATTTTTAACCAATTTAATGCTCTCCTTCAATCAGAGAAAGTTATGCTCAATATCATATCAATAGAGAGTGAGCGATTTGTACGTCATCTATGTACAAACTTTATGCCAGAATATTTTAAAAATGAGAAATTATATAATCTAAATCCTAATGATCCCTACTGCTTATTACCAATTGAACAAGTGAATGTTGGTCCGTATACAATGGATGCAATAAAACACTGCAATAACACGGCAATCGAACAATTTAAATTACAATGTGTCACATTTTACCAAAAATCGGTAGAGTCCCTTAAAAGATTTCCTATCAAAGACAACTTCTTTTCAGAGCTAAAGTTTCTCTCACCGGTTGATGTGATGAACAATCGTCTTATTATAAGTGATACCTTTCATGACGCCGTTTAAAAAAAAATTGCCCTTCATATTGAAACCGAAAAGGCAATTTTGGAACTAAAGAAAATATGTATTTATTTTAGTGATAGTGAGAAAGAGGAAATTTTAAAAACAAAAAGTAATGTCATTTGAATTTTGGTCGTTTGTAAACCTCAAAAATTTTAATGACGAATATTTATTTCGCAATATAGGTCAACTGGCTCTAATCATTTTAACATTGCCTCATGGAAACGCTGATGTTGAGCGAACTTTTTCTTATATGCTTGATTACAAAACAAAAAAAAGAAATAAAATAATACCATCAACTTTGTCTGCACTACTTACAATTAAATTAGACTTGGAATCAAAAAAACAGTGCTGTTTATCCTATAGTTTTAATGAGAATCATTTAAACAAATATAAAAAGAATATATATAATGTAAATAAGGAAGAACAAGCTGAAGAAGGAGTAATTTCTGATTCTGACTGTGAATAAAATAAGCAAACGTAGGCATTTCCGCTTCTTCTTTGTCCTTATTTTTTGTTTTTTTTTTCTATTAAGATTAAGATATTGGTGATAGTTTCTATTTTTTTATTAGTTCCTAATTCTAAACCAAAGACAGTTTTGTTTTTTTAGAGGTATACTTTTTATGTTTTTACGAAAAATTGCAATTATATTATGTTACTGTTTGTATCTTTAGTAGGGTTTTAAGACAGTGTTTAAAAAAAAGTAAATATGTAAAAAATATATTTGTTGTTTATTTTAAGCCTCCCCCTCCCTTAAAATTTTAGACCGTAGCGGTATGTAGCGGAATTTTGCGATACGTGTGACGAATATTTTAAACTTCGCTCTGGCAACACTGGTTGACGGCACAAAGAGCTCCAGTATAACCTGAACTGTTGACGCGGGTGCTTCAGTCAGAAGCCAGCTACTAGGGATGTTCGATACGATCCGATATTTATGAGTATCGATACTTCTGCTTCCGATACTGGATATTTTGGATCGATATTTTTATATACGATACTTGGGTGTCATGAGTATCGTTATCTTCCGATAAAGACTGTGCCATAAAGAGTGACTAACTTCAGATTATTTTTCTGCTTTGTTTCCTTCCGGCTAGTATTACCTAACCTCACGACCTCACTTAATTTATTTTTGATTCCAGGGTTGCCATATTAAGGGTTTTCCCCAAAAATCAGGGGATTTTTATTTGAATGGGCACTATTTTGGGGATACTTTTTTCTGGGATATTTTACTGGGGATGTATTATGTAAAATTTTATTATGATACATGTTTGAAAGTAATTAAAATTTGACGCCTTCAACAACACAGGCTTCAGCTGTTGAAACAATGACACTTGAGGAACTTTCAAAACCTTTTGAGAGCATCGAATTGATTAAACTTTTAGCTGTCCTAAATATCCTGAACCGTCGTTTTAAATGATTGCACTTTAACAGTCCAGTTGCGTGTGCCAATGCAGTCACTTTGATAACTCAGTCGTTTCAGTTGCGCAAGAAGGAAGTAAATACTGAAAAAGAAAGGGCAGAATCAAATTAATATTGTTGAAAAATCTAACAGTGTTTGAGCCTACCATGAAAAATGCAGATATCGATCTTGAGCTACAACCGTATTTAAGTATTTAAATAGTCAAAGCGCTCCCCTAAACTCGGATCACTTTTTGTACTGGAATAGCTCTAGTTCTTTTTCGGAGATATTTAAAGAACTGGCTAATAAATAGAGATTGTTGGCACCTCAGTTCCCTCAGAGAGACTCTCTTCTGAAGCCGGAAATATACTCTGCCAAAGCCGAAACAGATTATCTGTTGATCGAATGTCAGAACTATTATTTTTACATTTACTGGGTGCTGAAGAATGTTTTGTTAAGTTTGTCAACTTTGAGTTATTTGTAAAATCGTTTTTCAATACCTTATGTTTTATTAGTGTTAAATTAATAATTATTCGTTTTCTAATGAATTTCTTAGTATTTATTTTTTACATATTTTTATTAGTGAACTTATTTGGCAATCTAGACATGCAGCTGAAAAAAGTAAACATCATTTTAAAGGTTGTAGAAAAACCAACTTCGAATTTCGGCAGTGTAGGTTCTATATCGATATTCTTATTCCGATATTTTCAAGTATCCATACTTCCTAAAACGATAGGAATCGATACATGGTATTGATACTTTTCGTGGATCGGAACATCCTTAGCAGCGATACACACAGCGGTACAGGGTCGGACTGTGTTTTCAGCGCTGGCCCTGTGCATTGTTCAACATTAAAGTGCTTTAATTACATTATGGATCAAACAGATTCTCTATGTGGATGCCGGTTTTGAGCTACAACAAGGGCCTCTAAAATAACCAGTAAAAGTACTACGAGGTCCTCTATTCATATAGTTCGGAAGTTACTGCTCATATTAAACAATTTTGATACAAAGCTACTGATATGCCAATGATAGAACACCTTAAATACTTTTACTAGCATAGGTGCAGAAACAAGTAAAAAGGGAAAATTTGGGAGCGTCAAAAAACTCCTATCCTGAATGTTTTCAGAGTTGCAAATTATTTTCAACACCTAAAAAATGCAAAAATTTGTTATCTGATGTTTTTCTACTTTTTGGTCATTTCGGGCAATAGTAGAAATGTAGGTTTTTCGAAAATTCTGAAACCAGGCATCCCTTCTATGGTGGCTTATACCTATAACAACGCTTAGAATTTATGTATAGCTAAAATGTCTGCGAGCCGCATTTGATCAATTTGTAAAGTGTAAAGAAGTTTGCAAAATTCTGTTCTCGTAACAGTAATTTATGGAAAGAAACGTAGAAGTATAGATAGTAATGTGTGGGGATTACTGAGGCATTCTACTTGGTTCTACTTTTTTTATTCAGTTCTCATATAATTCTCAAAAAAAATTGATTGTATCAAAAAAAAAACACTCACAGTAATTACCGGGTGATAGTTACGCGCGCGACTATGTCCAAATAAGCTATTGAAATACAGAACAAAAAGCTTTTGTGAGAATGTTAATACTCAAAATTTGCAGAATTCAGACCGGATGACGATAGGATTACATAGTCTTGGTGATGCCTCATGCATCTCACAAATTATTCTCTTATTTCCAACGAGCAATTTCTGATCAGATACTTTATACAGTCATTCCCACAAACTGATGATATGCTGCTGCCTTGCTACGAGCTGCTCTGATCTGGTGGACCATACCGGATGTTTCAAATTCGACCCGCACCATTGGGATCTCCGAAACGGTAAGAGATATGAAGTCGCTTAAATGGGGGCAAAGTTACGTATTTAGGTAACTAACAAATGTCTCTAAAAAAGTGCTTTCGGATAGAGACGGAAAAACCGTATTTTCCCAAAATCGTTTTAGTTGTTTCCTGGCTTCATTTGTAGCGGGTTTCAAAATAAATTGTACGTTAACATTGCCACTTTTTCTCCCCTACAACATGGCAAAATCAGAATTTCAAAGTCCTCCAGCTTCACCTTTTTCTTTCCTTATGGACGCCATATTGGATTTTTCTACAGAGGAATAGAGTTTTTAATTCTGATTCCAAAAGTGTATAACGTGTCATAGTTTGACATTGCCAAACCTAAGTCAGAAAAAAAAACAGAATTTCCTACGTGGACCTTGAAATTTGTTTCATATGCCAGATTTATTACAAAATAATTTTTATTTTTTCCTTTTTCCTGACTTTACTTAAGAGGCGCTTTTGAAATAAAGTGCATCTTGTCAATGTCTTTTTTTTCCTTTACAAGAGTCAAAAGGAAAAAAAAACAAGATGAGGGTGGAGATCCATAACAGAAACCATTGACTGAGAATTTTACTACACCCTCTTGTAGAGGAGAAAGAGTGGCAATACTAGTATGCAATTTATTTTAAATCCCCATTTCAAATAAAACCAGGAAATAAACAACGATTTTTCAATAAATCTGGGGATACAAAACAAATGACTATCTGATAATTTTAAGGCCTAACTAGGAAATTTTAATTTATATATTTATGGAATCTTAACTAAAAACTTAATCTGTGCAAAAATAAAATATGGCGCCCACTAGAAAAAATAAAATTGATGCTGGAGGACAATAGAAACGTCATATTGAAGTTCTGATTATGCTATCTTATAGGGGAGAAAAATTGGCCATGTTGAAGTGCAATTTATTTTTAAATTCCATTACAAATGAAGCCAGGAAAAAACTAAAATGATTATGAGAAACATTTTTTCCGTCTCTCGCCGAAAGTATTAAATTGCGGAGTGACTGACGGTTTTTGCGAAACTTTGCAAACTTTGGTAGCTGCGTAAATGCTAAATCATTTAGTTGAAAGTAAACACTGGAAGATTGTAACGCAGCTTTCGATTGCAGAGTTTAACTTACGCAGTGGAGTGACTGGTACGTTTGGCCTTCCTGATTTGACTAGTAACATACAAACATTTGTCAAGACCACGTGACTTTTAACAATTTCGCATCACTCTTCTTGTGAATTTGATATTGCAATAAATAAGTCTTACACTTACCTTGTGATGTGACTGAACCTTTTATCCCTTTCAAGTGCCAGAAAGGCATGTGATAAGAACTGGGCTCCAACCCACGGAAAAGCCAACAATGGAGGTGTTTCTTTGTCTTTATGTTGTTGGTGTAATTTAGAAACCACCGATTCGCTCACAAACAGTACTTCTCCTATGAACATCATGTTTCCTTTCGCCACTGGGGTGTCTCCTTTTACCACCGTAGCTCCGTTGACTGTCAAACTGGCTGCAAATATTCGAAAAAATTAAAACTCTTGCAAGACACAATCCTTGGTGTCTAAATATAGTAATTCTAGTAACGCCAGTAGGTGGAAAACTACTGTGATCGTGAGTAACGTGAATTTTCAGATTTTAAGCTTTTGCGTACGAGGGTTGTCTCAAAAATAAGGTTCCTCTAACTTTGCCGAGCGTGATGCTAGGCGAAATGGCAACACGATCGTGTTTGTCGTGTCCCCCAACAATGATCCCAATAAGAAGCGCCTATTGGTGACGCTCAGTACCGGCCTGACACTCATGCGCAATGAAGCCTTTCATCGCCGTCACCGCCAGGTTGGTGCGAAATTCGCGCAGTCATCCGATTGATTTAAAAAGTTTAACAATTTCGCTGGTACGAGTATATCGAGACTTTTACCGCGATGTAATATGAAATATCTTGTCGAAAAATACCTACGAGTCTTCCTGAAGACGATATCCTTGCCTTCGAGGCTCTTCACCACTTGTCCGTCTTTGATGTCGTCCTGTCTCAACCTGCCCTTGATGAAATGGTTCACAATGACGCTCTCCGTGAACTCCGGCACACTGAAGGGGTAGAAACCCCAGTCGATTGGGTGCCAACGTTGGAAAGCATGGTCTGTTGGTACGAACACTGTGTATTCCTCATCTGAAATAGAAGAAAGATGGTGTCAAGTCGGTTGACTCGCATTAACATAAATACCAGGTGATTTTAGAAGTTTCTGGACTCTACGAGCTGTTTCAGTGAAGTTGGCCCAACGCCCCAAAACATGATATTTGTGAATTTATTTGAGGGCTAATTAAAATTTAATTTCGAATATAATATTCTGGGTTTCTTTGAATGTTTACGGAAAGATATTCTTAAAGCGTTTTTATTTCGAAATTGTCTTCTTTGCAAAAAGATCTGTGTATAGCAAAATACATGACGGAGACAACTTAAGTTGAATGAGCTGTTTATTCGCTTCGATAAAATAAAGGTAGGCTTTGTAACACAAATGATGACATTTTAAGTTGCTAAGAAGCTGGTTTTTGACATTTAAATCGACTTCCAACGCATTGGAGTTGTTAACAATTGTAAATGGCTCGTGGTAAAGCTGTTTCTGACGAAATAAGAAAAGTGATCATTCACTTGCATTTAAAAGGCCAAAATGCTTCCAAATCGCTGACAATGTTGAAAAATCGAGGTATACAGTTCGAAATATGATAAAGTTATACAAAACAACGGGACCTGTGGTTTAAAACATCAGAACTGGAAGTCGTCCGCGTTATTCCAATACCAGCTTAAGAGCCTTAAAACGGATTACGAGGGGTGTCCTTTAAGTTTTGCATATGGAAATAAAACAACACGGTAGGTAGTTTTAAATGACTTTATTGTTTTTCCAAGTATTCTCCACGAAGATTAATATATGTACATCTGCATGCGCTCGACCCAATTTTCGAAGCACTTATTCCACTCGTTTGCTGGCAGATCCAAAACGGCATTTTTGAATGCGTCAACTGCTCCTTCTGGTGACTGGAACCTTTGATCACGCAGTCTGTTTTTAATTTTCGGGAAAGTAAAGAAATCATTAGGAATATGAAGGATGGTCCAATAATTCCACGTTTTCTTCCGTTAAATACTGCCTTGTTTTTTGGGCTGTGTGCGAGCTTGCATTGTCTTGGTGGGGGATGATTCTTCTTTTGGGGTTGATTTTTCGAAGCTCGGTGATGACTTTTGGCAAACAAATGGTGGTATACCAATCTGCAGAAACAGTTCTTTGCTCATTAAGAGGAATTGTTGGAATATGACCCGCTTTTGACACAAATGTCGCGACCATCTTTTTCGAAACACTTCGAGAACGGATGACTTTTGTTGGCTTTTCTTCACCTTGGAACACCCAAACAGCCGACTGTTGTTTATTTTCTGGTTCATAACGATTCATCACCACTAACAATGCTGTACACATTTTTTGAGTTTCCGGAATTGAGACGGTCAACCGTTTTTTGACACCAATTCACCCTGGCTGCTTTCTGCTCTTCAGTCAACAGGTGGGGTATTCAACGAGAAACTAATTTTCTTACTCCTAATTCTTCTTCTAAAATTTTTTGAATTGAGGTCTTTGAGATCTTCAAGGACGCCTCAATCTCGCGATATGTCACATGTCTATCTTCAATGATGAGTTTGCGCACAGCATCGACGTTTTCCTGGGTGGCTGCCATTTTTGGTGCACCCACCCTGGGATCGTCGCTAAGATTCACCCTTCCACGTTTGAATTCTCCATACCAACGGGAAATTGTCGACTGATGTGGCGCTTCGTTGCCGAAAACAGACAGTAACTCAGCAAGGCATTCTTATTGCGATAATTGTCTCTGAGTTGTAATAAATTATGGCGCGAAAATGTTCTCGGTTGAGTTCCATTTTTCTAATGACTTGGTGACACTTAAAAATTCACTGTAGTGAGAACACTGCACGTATTGTTGTGAAACTTTGAATTTAAGTTTACTAAAGAGTGAGTTTAAGATTCAGTACTGACGTTCGATCCGCGCGGCCTACTATGTTTCTATATGCAAAACTTAAAATACATCCCCCGTAAATACTGAATTACTTTAAAGAAAGATTTAATACGTGTGGAATTATACGATCAATAAACTATGAAATTTACCAAAAGAAAATCGTTGCAAAGGTTTGGCCTAGGAATAGGCACTCTACCATTAATAAAGAGAAATTCAAATTACTAATAAGTGATCAAAATAGTAAAAGAAAAGGTTACGTAATTTTGGTGGTGGGTAGCTCCGAGTTACTCCGAGTAACATAAACGAGGCACTGGAAAGCAGCTCTGATTTCCCATTGGCATAGCATATTTTTAACACATATTAATTTCAATCATCGCCCAAATACAGCTCTAAAGAATTTCTACCATAACGTTTATTTTCATCACCCTGTATTACTACGCCTATGACTCTCATCGAGCTGCTCAAAGCTCTCAAAGCGGTAATCAACGTCTTTTTGAAATCTACATCAAAGACGTCTTGTGTACGTGTAGCATATACATACATGTATAAAATTTTATGCTCAAATTATTATTCTAGAAATATGAGGTATCTATAATATAAAGGAGAATTTTTCTTTGACAGTGTCAAACAACTTATCTTGGAGGTGATTATCTTTGGGAAATATTCCCAATTTCACATTTCCTTGAATTCAAAAGAGAACTAAATGTTTAATGCTGAAGACGCGTTCGAGAGAGCAATAAAAGCATATGGAAGGATATGAGACATCCCTAATACAATGAGCCCTAAGACGTCCACATATCAAGCCTAAAAAGAACTTGAATATTCCTTATAACATTATGGTGAGGCCTCAATTTTAAAACAACATGCACTGTCAAAATTTACTAAAGTCGCTGATAAAACTAGAGTGGTGACTTTGAAGTTGAGTCATTAATTTTCAGATAATGATTGTAGAAGGAAGATAAACCAAAATATGTATGTAAAAATAAAAAAAAATTAAAAAAATGTTACCTTGATTTATAAAGTATCCTCCAGACAAGTATTTCAGTGCGGACCTGTATTTGATCGTGCGGTCTTGGAGCACCGGCATGCCCTCCCCTGTGAGGTCTTAAGTCCTGATTCACGAGCCCTTTGTACTACATTAACAAAGGCACGAGGGGTTGGTTGCACTCGATTGGGAAACCGATCCGCATAAATCCGTGATGCCGCGGCAGCATTTTGTAAACACTCCCCCCCCGTAAATAAGAATCATGTCCAGAAGTTGAGCATTTTCGTAAACATGTGCCATTTTTTACTTCGTTTGAGCCACGCAACAAACACCACTATTCACTCACGCGTTACCAACTGACACATTGACTGAATACAACTGAATAAAATTGTAGTAAAAACATCGTGATAAGCATTTCAAATTCTTTCGCTTTTTTGTTTCCGATGCGATGAACCGATAAGGCGGATTATATCCGTTGTTGCCAAACACGAGCACATAATATTATTATTGAGACAGGTCGGTACTCAAACTTCTAAAGGGCTATAACTTTGTTACTTTAATTTTACCACACAAATGTAAAAGGAAAAAAAACATTTCTTTTGATCAGATCTACTGACTGTTAAAATAAATGACTCAAGTATACGCTTCGGCACAATCAGTCATGTAAAAATGTTCATGCCCCTGCTTTAGGTTGAACTAAGAAATCAGGTTTTTGCCTTCCGTAGTTGTCAAGCAACTTTGTTTTGATGCATCCAATAATTGAACACAGAAAGCAAGATATCAAATAATCATAAGCCGCCAAAGTTAATATAAATTATAAACTATAAGTGATCCTTACCTTCCTTAAGTAACTTGGAAACATTCGATCTCGACAGAAAATGCTGAAATACCCTCACACCACTTTTGAGGAACCCCAGCACTTCCATGATGTTCTCCACGAAGGTGGTGTTCGATCGAACTCTCGGATGTTCCTTTCCGGCAAAATGGCTGCCATCGTCCACCAGTTTTCCTTGACTTGTTGCATTTCTTCGTATCAGTTGATCCTCTGGGAAGAGGTATCCGTCCACGACTATCAGTATTCCATTTGGGACTTCTATTTTTTGTTCTACAACATTTGCGTCGTTGGCCTAGAATGGAGAAACTAAATTACCTCTAGCATTCTTTTAATAGTGGTTATGCTTCACCTCACAGAGTACCCAACTAACAATTATCACTCCTATTAGAGTTGTAAGAATGATTATACAGTATTGCTTACACAGCATTGTATACTGTAAGAACATTGGCAAAACCCTCTTAGAACAGCTATACAAGCGGAATGGGCACACCTAATAGGACACTTCAGTCATTTAAGAGGTTGTATAAGGGCTGCAGGTAACAGTTATACAACAAAAGTGTAAGCCCCTTGCAGCCGCTATAGGACATTTGCGTCAGTGCAAGATTCAGTTTTTGTCAACTATACAACTATTCTGTTACGTGATTCTACTTTATTGCAACCAAACTATTTCTTATGTATTGCATAGACGAAGTGAAGGATATATAACTAACACATTACAGTCATCTTGTTTACTTACATATCGACCATTGTGAATTTCATACACAGGTATATAATAAACTTCTACACTGTGATATAGGACTATTGAATTACTTGTGCAGCAAATTTTATTGTGATTATCGTGCAAAGTAGTTACGCAATTTCTACGGGCTTCTTATTTGATGCATATTTTGATAATGATCAAAAGTATGTCTAGATTTTTAAGATGGAAAACTGAACTTATCTGCGTCAAATCTTTCACAAATCCTATATTTACACACAATTACACGAATGTTTATACCTTTATATCTGTAATTTTGAACTGAAACATAATTATTTAATATTAAATAGAGGAATAAATGGCATCGTCCATGTTGTCTTCAGTTTATTAGAATATTTAGGTGTTGCCTGCAGGTGTTATACAACAATTTGACACATGTCTGAAATGAAATACCGACAGAGTCGAATGATTTACCCAGAATTTGTACCAGATCTGTATCTTCTTGAACAGTTGATAAAACCTTTTGAACCAATATGCATGCGTTGTTTGTCTTAAATCATTGGTTATGGCATTTTAACAAAAATATGACAGCAGAAAGTTAGGTTATGGTGAAGTTGTATACCAACATATTTAGCATATGTACAGCCTTTAACAGTTATTAAACAACAGCTGTATAAGTGCTTCCGTTGGGAGCAACTTGTTGGCTGAAGTAGTAATATGCACAGCAAAACAACAAGGCTCGGGTTTGTTTTATAAACGTTACCCTGGATGCCACAACACAACCATTTTGACCAACGTGCAAATATGCCGTATAAAATAGTTGTATAAACGTTTATGCAACAGTTAAAAATTTGACCTATAAGGTGTTGTATAACTATGGTAAAGAATATTTTAAACACCTCATTTTAGAGCAAATATGTTGCAGCAAGCAAATTTGCATTCCACACAACATTAAGCCAGCATTTTGGTGTTCAGGCAACAACAATTGAAAGCTTTTATGGCTGAACGGTTCTTTTACCAAAAGCTTATAGCACTACTTTGCTAGTTGGTTATTGGCTCTAAGGCCCACATTTTCAGTCCACCCTTCAGGTTCGAGTGCCGATTAAGTGTTGGTCCCTTGGATATTGAACGAATGATAACGCACGCTTGGGCCATCCTCAACTGTGGATTTAACATTTGCATTTCACAGTATTCTGTAATAGTCCTCATCACAGAATTTCAGGTTTTTTTACACCGCAGCACCCGTGCAGGCAGAAGCCAGGGCACCTCGGGTGCTATGAGGCTCACAAAGAAACTTTGTTATATTTGATTTTTGAACTGTCTAATGTTAGTAGAACTGGGAAAACCCCCTCTTGTAGATTATTCAAAAATCTCGACACCCTAGGGACAAAGGAGCGGTCGTACCGGCCAGTTCTGGATGTACGAAGTTCGACACGGTTAAGTTGGGATGCGGTAGTCAAGCGGGTCTGTCTGGAAGGCACATCGCTCGGAGGCATCATGGAGGAGAGCTCTGAGGAGCAAAGCCCATTGGTGTAGCGGTAGAAAAGATCAGTCGGATAGCCTTCTTCTGAACAGCATCGAGCAAGGATAATCTAGTCGGGCCGGCAGCACCCCAAACATGCGAGCAATGCGCGAGGCTAGGTCTTATCTGGGCCTTGTATAGTGTGAGAACGTCATGTGGAGAAAAGTACTTCTTAGCCCTAAACAAATAGCCTAGTTTTTTTCCAGCAGCTGCCGCTACTAACGAGATGTGTTCTATTTGTAAATCTTGAAAACTGAGAATTTTGAAAATTATGATAATACTATCTAGAAAATTTTGAAACCTGAATCTTTTGGAAAATTTTGTTTCAAAAAATTAAAATTTTGAAAATTATTAATACGAAAATTTTTGAAATTAAGATTTATTGATTTAAAAAATTTTGGAATTTGGGAATTTTTGAATTGAAAAATTTGATATTCATTAAAGTCTGTAAATTTTGGAAATTTTGAAAATCTGTTACAACAATCTGTAAAGAGCAAATGTTAAATCTACACTTATTATTCTAACATTGTCCAAGGTTTGACCAAGCTTCAATCAGCCCTCAAGCGCCGACTATACGAGGTTTGTTCAAAAAGTATCGCGAATTTCATGTTTTTTCTAGAATTATTTATTTATTCATGAATATTTATTTTGCCCCTTTCAAAGTAATCCCCATCAGACATTATACACTTGTGATGACGTTTTTTCCAATTCTCGAAACATTCTGAAAAATCATTTTTTGTTATCTTGTTCAGCTCTTCCTTCGGTGTGCCGTCTTTATCTCCTCAACCGTGGCGTTATCCTTTCATGGGCCTCTTCAGTTTCGGGACCGAGAAAAAGGCACAGGGGGCCAGGTCTGGGGACTACGGTGGGTGAGACATTATTGGAGTGTTGTTTTTGGCAAAAAATTTGCGCACAAGTAACGATGCATGAGCAGGGGCGTTATCATGGTGCAAAAGCCAAAAAGATCGAAAATCGAACATACGTAGCCCGCGAAAATTCAAAATTTGCGATAATTTTTGAACAAACCTCCTAAATATGGGCCTTGACCTCTCTTTTGTTTTAGCTCTGATTTTATTTGTTAATATACCGGGTTTCTAGGTCAAGATCATGTCTACTCTAACATTGAACAAGAAGTTTAACAGTGACATTGGTTTGGTCTTAAACCTCACCTTCAAGGTCATTTCAAGGTTAGCCTTTGTTTTTAAATTTTAACACCGGTAATTCAACGGAGAATTCGGAATATGTATGTCGGCGTCAAACGCTGAAATCCGTCATTCCCTGAAATGCCTAGTCAGTCCCCGTATTGCCGGTAAACACCGTAACAGTTTGATTATTACAACGTTTGACTAAGCATTTCAGTTATTCCCTGTAATGACTGAACAATTTCAGTCAAACACAGTAACAACCACATTAACTTCGTTACTACATTTGCCTGATTCAGTCATTCATTGTACCAGTTTTGTGATCATTTGCTTGAGTATACACATCGCCTTTTCTGTGTTTGTAAAGATGTCGCAGCATTCAGAATTGTTTTACAAGAAACTATGACAGTGTGAATAAGAAAAAACCATGGAATACAAATGAGTTAAATGAGGTAAGTTAATATACTAAGTGACATATAAATCCGAACACCCAGTTTAAATGGTTTTATTTTAATAAAATTTTGTATAAGTACTTAATGAAGCATAATAAGTAAATGATGAAAATTTCAAAATGCTGCTTTAAAGCCCTTTGACCTTTAATAATGTGTGGATGCACCCTGATGTGCTACGCATTCTCCAACGCGCCTAGGCATGCTTCTGATCAGGTGGTCAATGTCCTCCTGTGGTATCTCATTCCAGGCAACCACCAACTCCTCTCGAAGTGCTTCTAGAGTCTGAGGAGGACGTTGTAAATTGAGCAATCATATCCCACACGTGCTTCATTGGGGATAAGTCGGGAGATCTTGGTGGCCATGGTAACAATGTGACATCATTATGTTGAAAGAAGTCTATTGTGACTCTTGCAACATGTGGTCGGGCATTATCTTGTTGGAAAGTTGGATCTGCCAGGGTGTCAAGATAGGGTAAAAGATGGAGTTCTAGAACTTCGTGGATATAACGCTGCGCGTTCATGTTACCTCTGATGAAGATTAAAGGTGACCTGGAACCATAAGCTATAGCACCCCAAACCATAACTCCAACAGTGTGATGAACATGTCTTTCAACAAAAAACTGTGGATTCCTCCTTTCACCACGTCGCCTTCTAACCTTGGCACGACTATCGTGCATGCCTAAACAAAATCGAGACTCGTCACTGAAGACAATACTGTTCCATTCCTGATCCCAAAGTGAGCGTTGTCTGCACCACTCAAGGCGATTACGTCGGTGTTCTCGAGTTAAAGGGAGGACCCAGTGTGGCCGGTATGAAAACAAGCCAAAACTTCTCATTCGTCGGTAAACACTTCGCATGCCAATAGGTCTTTCGTGTTCTGCAAACCATTCATTTGCAATGGACCTAGTAGTGGAGAAACGGTCCCTTAAGGCCAATAATCTTAGGCGGCGATCTTCACGGTCTGTTATTCTACGGCGGCGTCCAGTGCCCCTTGCTCTTTGCGTACGGCCTTCTCGAAGCCATGCCTGACAACACCTAACCACAGTGTCTACACTTCTTTGCACTCTAACTGCAATTACCCGAAAAGAAAGTCCAGCTTCCCGAAGTCCCACTATACGGCCCCTATCAAACTCACTAAGTTGACGAAATCGTACAGGTCTCCGTACTCTAGGCATCGTAACCGATCGTAAAGGATGACAAGAACCAAAATCCGCCAACGTTGATTCTTTACTGCGGCTGAAATATTCATTTTTAGAGCGTTAGTGAATTAAAAAAAAGCAGCATAAAAACCGGAATGTCCAACTGATAAGGCTGACATTTTTTTCACTTGTTATTTACAGTAAGATAAATAATACATTCACCAACTTTTATTAAAATAAAACCATTTAGACTGGGTGTCCGGATTTATATGTCACTTAGTATATTTATAATTTTGTGAACCTAACCTAAATTATAACGTACATATGCTTGCTCAACAGCAGCATCCATTGTTGCCGGATTTCGTATATAAACACTTAATAAAAAAAAACAATAATGTAATAATAAAGAAATTTCAATCCATTCTTCTTTCCTTTAAGCTTAATTCATGCTAGATTATTTTTCTTTTAATATTATTGATAAAGTAGTACCGTGTTATATTATGTACTTCATTGGAGCAACACTATATTGATTACAGCGTTTGACTAAAATAGTCGAATGCAGTAACGAAGTTAATGTAGTTGTTACGGTGTTTGACTGAAATTGTTCAGTCATTACAGGGAATGACTGCAATGCTTAGTCAAATGTTGTAATAATCAAACTGTTACGGTGTCTGCCGGCAATACGGAGACTGACTAGGCATTTCAGGGAATGACGGATTTCAGCGTTTGACACCGACATGTATAAAAATGTAAGATCGAGGTCATCTTTAAAGGTCGATTGTGTGGAGTTAGGTTTGAATCCAAGCTTATCAGGATTGTTGATGAAAGAATCAAGGACCCCAATATTGGCCGCGGACTTCGAGCCTCATCTTCAAGGTCACAATTGTACATGAAAACGTATTAGACCGTACATTTTCCACTGCCAGTGTCAAGAAGGGAAGTTATACGTAAAAAAAGTCGACCTTGAAATGAGTTTGAAGGTGAGGTTCAATGTGGGATCCGAGGTCACTATTGAAATTCTTGTTAATCGTAACTAAATGAGATGTTTTCCATCAAAAATACTTATAAGCTTCCAGGAAATTTCACTAGTTTTGCACATGCGACCTTCAATTGACCTTTAGAGGCACCTTGATATTAGATTTTAGTAAATATTCGGATTTAGAATTATCCTTTCTTTCGATTAAAAAACAAAAACTGGACCTTGAAATATGTATATGAGGCTCATGGCCAATTCCAAAGTTACTAGTAAAGTTCCTATTCAAAGTTAGTATATATATGACCTTGACCTGTTTGGAAAGTACCTTATTTAGAAAAATACAGAGATCTTCTGTTTCTTTTATTACACTCGTTATGTCATATCGTCAAAATGTCCTCGGGTTCTCCGATCACACTCTTTGGATAGCGTATACAAACTATGCTTTCGTATGTTGTCCGAGGGACCCAAGCCTAGACCATGCTAAGGAATAGCCAAAAAGCACGAAACAGCTATCTTTGGTCGGACGGACGAAAGTAGACCATGTTTATTTTGTCTTCTCTTGGTATAACTACTCATTGATCTTACCTTCAGTTTAGTCACGTTTTCTTTCGCGGGCTTGACAGTCACTGTCCTCCCACTCATTGTTGTGAAATTGGTCTCTGATGTAACGTTGGTGAGGTCTATCTTCGATCCAAGAACCACATGGTCTAGAAGCAGATTTTTCACCAATTCTGGCAGGTGGAGCAAATTTTCTGTTCGGTCTCTCGCTGTGTTCTGTGGGGCGAATATCGTGAAGGGTTCACCTGTAACAAACAGATACAGATTTTCCTGTTATCCTGTCACTAGATCTTTATGACATCGGATATTCGTAGTAATACTCATTCAAATTGACGTGTATACAGGGTGTTCCTTAATGATATGCGAATATTTAAGGGTGTGAATCTGCATGAAAAATTAATGTTAGTTTGCTTTATACACTATGGTCTAAAAATTTTTCCTTACAAAAACTTGGGGTGTTAAGTTTTATGAAAAAAATGTAAATTAATTAATATTTTCAGAACCGCTTCAGATATTTCATTGATATTTAGTACGTAGTGAAAGTTAATAAAGTTGCATATTTTTCAGTGCAAAAATAATTTTCAGCTTTAACAGTGGCGTGCGTACGGGTATTGATTTCGATATTTTTTAAGAAAAAAATGGTCCATCAATGGTTTTTTGCCAAATAAAAATTATTTTGTTCAATGTAAAACAAATGATCTCTCTTGAAATTTTTCCTTCGATGCACCATTCTTGAGTAAAAAAATTAAAAACCGTTCTATTGTCCGAGAAAATTAATGTAATAATTGAAAAATCCAATTTAGCAATAAATATCTAGTTGCTCTGGAATAAGTCACTGCCTTTTGACATCTGCAAGTCTCTGTCATTCAAATCTGTTCGCTGTGATATCTTTTTCATTATTTAGTTTTTACAATCTTGTTAATAGTGGTGAATTATTCAAATGCAGAAATAGCGGAAATGCATTACGTATATGGCCTTGCCGGCGGTAATGGTGAGCAAGCCAGACGGATTTATCACCAGAGATGTCCCGATCGTGCTTTGCCAGATAGTCGAGCCTTTTCTAATATTCATCGTCGTCTTATTGAAACTTATTCTGTCCGAAAAGGAACATCTGAAGGTAGACCTTTAAGTGTGAGAACACCTGAAATTGAGGAAGCAGTGCTGCACGAAGTCGAAGAACATCCTGAAACGAGTACGAGGAAGTTCGTTAGACACTTAAATATTTGCCATCAATTTTTTGTTATATCCTTACCATATTTTAAGAGTACAGGGATTACTTCCCATTGATTTTCCAAGGCGTGTGACCTTTTGTCAGTGGTAGCTTCAAAAAATTACACAAAATCCGCAATTTGAATCAATGATTCTGTTCACGGACGAAGCTAATTTTTCTCGAAATGTCATTCAGAATTTCCACAATAATCATTTGTAGGCAGAAGAAAATCCCTATGCCGTAACCGAAACCCATTTCCAACACCAATTTTCGGGTAACGGGCAGGAATTATTGGCAACCACTTTATTGGCCCATTCTTCTTGCCAGGACGACTTGACGGACAGACTTACCTCAATTTTCTTCAAGAACAGTTGCCTTCGCTGCTTGATGATGTTCCGTTAGTAATAAGAAACAATATGCGGTACATGCATGATGATGCACCAGCGCATTTCAGTGTAGCAGTTCGTAATTATTTACAAACTGTTTATCCAAATCATTGGATTGGCCGCGGTGGGCCCCAAGAATGGCCACCAAGGTCCCCAGATCTCAACAGTTTAGGTTTCTTGTTTTGGGGCTATCTTAAGACACTACACAAGTCACATTAACACTGTAGAGGAATTAAGAAAAAGAATAGTTGCAGCTTGTGATAGAATGAAAAACACCAGGGATATTTCATGAGAAGGTGGGCTGAAGCATACATACTAAGTGGGCCATTTTCAACAATTTTTGTAATAATTTCGTTGGTTTTAATGTTATGTTTCTGTTGTCAGTTGTTGTTGTTCATTACCCCTAATGTTTCTAATGTTTCCAATTAAATTAATAATAGATAATAAGTTAGACAATAGAACGGTTTTTATTTTTTTACTCAAAAATGGCGCATCGAAGGAAAACAATTTAAGAGAGATCACTTGTTTTCAATTGAACGGGGAATCCAAAAATAATTCTTTTTTGGCAAAAAACCATTAGCGTATCATTTTTTTCGGAAAAAATATCGAAGTCAATACCCGTACGCACGCCACTGTTAAAGCTAAAAATTATTTTGGCATTGAAAAACCTCGTCTGAATTACTCAATACTCTATTTTTGTGTTTTTCAGTTCTCCCATACCTTTTAGGCATAGGAACATTTTTTGAAGGGTTCAAATTCCAGAAATAAATCCTTAACCAGGTCCAAAACTTTGATTTATGGCCAGCTTTGGAAAAGGAAAACGGTTCTGAATTCAGAATTTGTATGTTTGGGCGATTTGATCGCGATGGAAATACAGGGTGCAATTTAATTACCTACAAACTACCACCATGAGGTGTTAGCGATATTGCAATGCATGAAAATTAAAAAAACAAGTTTTTAATAAGCTTTGAGAATTTCTATAGATCAAATAAAACTTTTAATTTAATTATTACGAGAATTGTTGAGAAAGTGCTCTTTCTGCTAGAATACAGGCTTCAATCCTCTATCTCATGGATTTGGCGAACCCAAAAATTTCAGGAGTATTTCTTATGATTTTGCAAGAAAGTAAAATTTTTTGTCTTAAAAGTTCGTAGGCTGGCATAGAAATTTTTTTTTCATAGAATTTGATTTTATTATTCAATATAGTTCCCTTCGAGGGCGATACAACGATTGTAGCGGCCATACAATTTTTTGATACCATTTTTATAATACGATTTGTTTTTAGCCTCAAAATAGGCTTCAGTATGGGCGATTAACTCTTCATCGGCGCGAAATTTCTGTCCAGACAGCATCCTCCTAAGGTCTGAGAACAGAAAAAAGTCGCTCGTGGCCAGATCTGGAGAGTACAGTGGCTGCGGAAGCAATTCGAAGCTCAATTCATGCAATTTTGCCATCGATTTAATTGATTTGTGGCACGCTGCATTGTCTTGATGAAACAGCACCTTCTTTTTCTTCAAATGAGGCCGCTTTCCGCGATTTCGTCTTTTAAACGCTCCAATAACGCTACGTAATAGTCGCTGGTTATGGTTTTTCCCTTTTTGAGATAATCAATGAATATTATACCATGAGTATCCCAGAATACTGATGCCATAACCTTGCCAGCCGACTTGTGGGTCTTTCCACGCTTTGGAGTCGGTTCATCACGTGTAGTCCACTTGGATGACTGTCGATTTAACTCCGGTGTGAAATGATGGAGCCATATTTCATCCATCGTCACATATCGACGCAGAAATTCGGATTTATTACGATTAAACAGCTCCAAACACTCGATTCGTTGTTGTTTTTGGTCGATTGTGAGCTCGCGCGGCACCCACTTTGAACAGAGATTTCGCATATCCAAATATTCATTCACGATATGACCAACACGTTCCTTTGATATATTTAGGGTCTCAGCTATCTCAATCAACTTCACTTTACGGTTACCAAAAATTATTTGGCGGATTTTTTTGATGTTCTTAAATTTAGTGAACCACTTCTCTACGGTAGATTTTCCTGGTGCAAAGTCCGAATAATGTTTACCAAGCCAAGCCTTGGTTTCAGCAGTATTTTTTTCACCAAAAAGCATTGCTTTATTAACACACGAAATTCCTTTTTATCCATTTTTTACAAAGTAACAAAAGTTCTTTCGCTAAAAATGCTATAACTCAGATACTAATAGCACTGATCAACAGCCAAAAAACATCCTAAATAAAATCAACAAAATATTACTATTTTTAATGTGCTAAAATCGGAATGAAACTTTTTTCAATATTAGTTCAAGTTTTAGAGATACGGTAATTATATGTGTTCCTGCTGTGACAGTGTTAATATACTGTAATTCACAAGAATGCACGTGCTACATTTTTATATTCGGCAAGGAAAGATGATGTAATCGGCATGATTGTGTTACGTTATACATACGTGTACATTAAAAAACTCTTCTGTGATGTGCTATGCCGATGATACACAGATATATAAAAGCTTTAATAGTAACACTTTGCATACTTCAATCAATGAGCTTAATGATGATTTGGAGGCAATAGTAGGGTACTCAAATGGTAATAATCTTAAGCTCAATAAGGATAAGTGCTCAGTGATGCTTTTTTGTCCTGCTGTCAAACGTAACACTGTATTGAATTCTCTTGATGTAAAAATCGACAAGGAGCGTCTAGCTGTCGTAAATACTACAAAAAATTTAGGGTTGATTATTGATTATACTTTACGGTTTAAGGAGCATGTTTCGTCTATCTTAAAAAAATGTTATGCAACATTGAAGTGTTTTTATGTCAATCGCTCTATTTTGAATTTTAAAGTTAGAAAAAAGTTATGTGAGGCTATTATATTTCCAAGCTTATTTTACTGTAGCACTGTGTTCTATCATTGTCTTGATTCTATCACAAAAGCAAGACTCCAAAAACTCCAAAATACTTGTTGTCGATTTGTATTTAATCTCAAGAAGTATGATCATGTTTCCTTAAAGAGATTTCAGCTTGGTTGGATGTGTATAGAAAATGCTTGCAAGTACCATATAGCAGTGTTTACACATAAGATCATATCTTCTAGATCCCCCTTGTATCTTTATGAGAAATTTGTTTTCAGACGAAATAATTCAGACATTGATTTCAGACACAAAAAAAGACTAGAGATCCCTATGTATAAAACAACTTTATTTCGTAGTTCATACACTTACAATGCTATCCTGATTTATAACGAATTAGATGACAATATAAAGGATTGGCCAGTAAACAGATTTCGTAAGCATGTGAAACAGATTTATTTGTCATTGTAGTAATTGTGGAAAAGTTAGTTTTTAATTCTTACATTTAATTTTATTTTACGTAATATATGTGTGTATATATGTATGCTAGGAAGCTATCAAGCTCGTTGTTTTGAAGCGTCTTTTGCTTGTCAAAGTTTCCTTTGATTGAGTGTTTCAATTTAGTATTTGGGTAGGTTAAGTAGAGTAGCCAAGAGCTAGACTTCGCCTACGTAGAGGTCACATTATGTTGTAGTGTATATAATGTGCCTAATAAAGACATTTTATTATTATTATTATTATATTGTTTTATATTAGCCAGCTAATAACAAAGGCATATCAGCTTTATTTCGGTTGTAAACTAGGTGATCAAGACAAACAGTGGGCACCCCACATCTGCTGTAATACATGTGCTTCAAG